GGGGGGGGCACCCCCGGAGGCATCACCCTTCCCAGGGTGCCACCCCCCCCCAGCTCCGCGGTGGCCAAGGCAGAGGAAACCCCAGTCCCTGCTCAGAACTCCCGCGGAGTGCGGGGGTCCCTCCCGCGGCCGCCCCACCCCGGCTCTACGTGTCCCCCCCCTGCTGGTTACAGCTTTATTTCAATATTTAATTAAATTTCACACATGCAATTAGCCCGGGCGGGCGGCACCACAGCCGGGGGGGAGGGGGTGCCGGGGCCGAGGAGCACCTCTAACCCCCCCTCCGAGAATCACAGACAAATAAATCACAAAGAACAACAGGAAAGGAGCTTTTTTGCCCCATTTTTTGGAAAGCCATCCCTCCGAGCAGCCGCTGGGATTTGGGGAGGGGGGTATGTGCTTTGGGGTGACACCCTTGACCACAGGGGTCGGCCACGTGCCGGCAAATTTTGGCGTCGCCGGCCACACCGGGCTGCAGCCAGTGATTAAGGCGAGGCTTGCCAGCTCAGGAATGGGGACCCCCCCGCCCCGGCCCCCCCGGCTTTGGGGTGCCGTGGGGTGCTGGCGGGCACGGCTGGCCGGTCGTTAAGCGAGGCCTTTAATCAAGACAGATGCCAAACCCGCCGCGGTGGCCGGCGTCGGCTCCACTTCCCCGCCCGGCTCCCGCCATCGCCCTGCCACCAGCTCGGGGGAAAAAGTCCTTTTTTTGGGGGGGGGGGCACAGGTTAATTTTCCAGCCCGATGGGAGCAGCGGGGGTTTGGGGGGGCACGTTCCCAGCCAGGGCCGCGTCCTCGGTGCATCAGCGGAGGGGTGCAGCCGGGGCCCACGGCAGGGGTTTGGGGTGGTGGTCAAAAACCTCCTTTGGGGGCCGGGCGGGAGGCCGGAGGAGCCCCGAGAGGCTGGGGGGGGTGGGACACCCCGCTCTCCCGGGGGGCTTTCCCGACACCCTCCACGGCCGGGGCGGCCCCGGTGCGGGTGGGTGAGCTCAGCCCCGGCGCGGCCCTCCGGCACGGCAGGGCGGCTCCCGGTCGGGAGCTAAGGTTTTTTTGGGTGAGTGTGGGGGCGAGGTGGGGGCGGAGGCAGATCCAGATGAGCCGGGGCGACCAGCCGGAGGCTGCTGCACCCGCATCCCACGGCGGGTGGGCACGCCAGACGGACCCCCAGGTGTGCCCGAGGTGGGCGTGATGGCCACCGTCCCGTCGTAGGGCGCTGGGGGAGGCAGAGGGGACCCCCGGCTGCGACCCCCGCCGTGCCATCCCCGCCAGCCGTGCCGCCTCGCCGTCGCCCCGGCCAGTCCTGCCAGCGGCGTGGGTCCAGGACGTCCTTCGTGGCCCAGCCCTGCCAACGGCGTCCCGTGGCCACGGCGGTGCCGGGAGCAGCGGCCCCTAGCGCTCCCTGGTCTGCCCCAGCCTCTCCCCGCAGCCGCAGGGGCCGGTGAAACCGGGGAAAGGCATTTCCTTCCCTTCCCTTCCCACCCACGCCCCGACTGGCACTCGCGGACAAGGAGGGCGAGCGAAGGCAAGGCCGGGTGCCACGGGGATGGCCCAGAAGCCAGGGGGATGCACCGCACGCCCAGGTTTCGGGGTGTCCAAGTCCCTTGGGTACCCCGTGCCGCAAAGGGCCACGCTGGGGGCTCGCTCGTGGTCCCAGCTCGGGGCAGGGGAGGATCCAGCCTTTGCCAGCCCCGGGTTCCCCGGCACAGCACAGGGTGCAAAGCCACCGGCTGCCCTGGTGCGTCTCTGCTACTGTCGTCTCCTGAGCACGCAGGGGTTGCCGTCCCCAGCTCCGCCGCAGCAGGCCTTGGGGACATCAGGGAGCCCGTTGTGAGCTGACACCCCACCTGCGCTCATTTCAGGGTGCTGATGGCTCCCGGGCTCCATCGCAGGGGCTCCTTCCCCCACGCCAGCAACAGGGATGTCCCCAGGGTGGGCGAGCCGACCCCCAGCTCTGCGGTGAGGATGGAGATGGAGGATCAGAGGGACCCCGTCACCCCCCGGAGCAGGGACACACCGAGCGCTGGTGGCAGTGGGAGAGGGACGGTGCTGGGACCGAGCTGTACGGCAGACGCTGCCGTAACAGCACCAAATCAGCTGCGGAGGGCTTTGCCGATGGCCACCCGTCCCCACCACCATCCCCCTCCCCATGCCGTGCCGGCCCCTGGGGTGAGCAGCATTGGGGAGTGGAGCTGGCTGATGATCAGCCTGGCCAAAATGAAAGCAACCAAATGGTTTTGGCTCATCAGTTCCTGAACTGGTTTACCCACCAGACAGACAGACAGACGCTGGGGCCGGCCCGAGGGAGACGGCAGGAATGTGCCGTTGGGCTTTGGGCAGGATCAGGCCCTGCAGCGCTGGCAGAGCCTGACGCTGGGTTAATGGGGCTGTGGCTGCACGAGGAGGAGGGGGACGATACAGACACTGTGAGGAGCAGCATCCACAGGGAAAGGTTTTCCTTGGCACCTTCTCTGATATCATCGTTTCTCTGCCAAACTCTTGTTTGTTGGGGATTGTTGGGGATTAAACTTCCTTCTCCGTGCACAGAGAGCCTCAGCAGGGACATGGAAGGCACCCCATGCTCATTACATGCCTGCTAGTTCTGCAGAGCACAAAAAGGGTTTAAAAAACTGACGGTGGCCTGGAGGGCACAGCGTGGGCTGTCATGGGAGCTTTCTCTTCCAGCCATCCTTGGGAAAACCAGGGCGGATGCACTGGTAACGGCCCTGGGGATGCGCTCAGCAGGCAGCTGAAGCAAGTCTTGCCCAAGCACCTACTTGGGGTCGGCCCAAAGGTTCCCCGTGCTCGGCATGCTCTCCTGTGATGGCCAGGGAAGGGGGCAAGAGCAGGTGCGAGGCGTGGCGGCATCTCCGCAGAGGGGTGCCGGCTGGGGATGCATGGGCAGGGCTCTCTGGCCTGGCAGCAGCATCGGTGGTGGTCTGGCATGGAGCTTCACTCCCTGCAAGTGCCCAGTCGCTCCTGGAGCTCTGGCAAACCCATGGCATCAATGATGCCCCGAAGGAAGTGGTTTCACCCCTTCCCATGTGGCGCACAAAGAACTCGCTCCTGCCTCATGCCGAGCGGCTGGTTTAATTCAATGCCCCCTGGTTCCTGCACCAGCAGAAACCATGAAGGGGTCACCCCGCACCCCAGCACGCAAGACTGACCACGGTCAGCGGCATTGGCCTTTGGCTGGATGCTCTATTTGATTTGCCTGGTTTGACTGTGGCAGTGTCCCCAGAGCTGGTTTGGGGCGCGCTGGCATGCTCTGTGCCAAGACCCACTTCCCCAGCAGTGCCTGCCTCCTCTCCCCCTCCTGCTCCCTTCTCTAAAGCCTGAAATGGAGAGTGCGATTTGGCCAGATTTGGGAACTTTTTGCACCAAGTTAGTCCAAAGAGCAGATGGGTAAGAGGACAAGCGGCTGGCGTGGGTCACCAGTGCAGCAGCACGCCCCATTTCTGATCATTTATTCCAGACAGGGGCTGCCAAGCACAGCGAAGGCAATGCATTTCTCCTCTCACCAGGCTCCAGCCAGGTGAGAATAAGCCATTCCTTGTTTCCTTGCAGTAGTCACTTCAGCATTGAGCAAGACCGCTCCCAAAGCAACCACTGCACACGCTGCAGGGTGTGAGACAAATGCCCGCAGCGTCCAGGAAGAAATTCCACCTACCTGTGCAGGGTTGCACAAACAGCCACGGCAAATGCTTTTCCGCCTCCCTCTGCAGCGCCAGCCGCCCTCCACCTCGGAGGTATTCAGATACTATGGAGATAGACCATAATGAACTGTAATAACACACATAAGTACCACGATCTGTCAGTCCATCACCTTTAAATAACAAGTCTCCTTTCCCTTCCAACCTACACGCACACTCAAGCATGGAAATGAAAATAATTCCAAGCTGAATGGCTGTCACGTAGTAAGGCGGAGGGCGGGAGCCCTCTCCCTGCGGCTCCCGGCAGAGAGCACCCTCGCCCGAGGGCTGGCACAGCGCTGGGCAGGACCCCAGCACGCCTGCCTGCTTGCTGGGGGCTCAGACGCTGCCCGGGGCCTCCCCAAACTGCAGGACATGGGGTTTGGTTCACCAATGGCTCAGACACCGCCCGGCTTCATTTTCGCAAGAGGTGCATCACAACCCGTGGGCAGTTCCCAGGCTGGTGTGGCATCGCGGTGCCACGCGCCATCACATCGTCCCTGTATGAAGGCAGCTGCTGCGAGAGCCAGGGTCGCGGTCCCAGCAGCAGTCAGTGAGCCCCCCAGTTACTGAAGGTCTCTGCTGCCACTGGGCACAGGTATCCGGAGTGGGACCCCTGGTTTGGGGTGCAGGGAGAGGGCCGTGGGGTGCCCAACCATGGGGTGCAACACTGACCACCACGCTGGAAGGGAGAGCTGCTGGGGGCTCCCCATGGAGGGAGAACTAGCACAGCAACACCAAGTTCTATCAGAACAGCACTTAAAAAAATAATTTTAATGTTTTAATGTTTAAGATACACCATCTGTTTACTCCACGGCAGGATCCCCCAGCCTGAGTTAGCACAAAGGTTGGGAGCAGGCACAGCACATGGCCCTGCTCAGCAGGCAAGCGCGGGAGGAAGGGATCCGTGCTGGCATGGGCTGGCGGGTTACTCCAGCGGGCTCGTCCCTGACCACACATTTGCCCAAAACCAAAGCTCAGGTGGAAGCCTGCTCAGGAGAGGCACAGGCTGCGTGCTCGGGGTGTGCATGCAACCACACAGCAGCATGCCCGGGACGGGAGTGCCCAGCAGGCACAGCCCCAAACAGACAGATTAATCCGGTACATTCTCCAATTGAAGCTCCAGAGGAAGAAAAGGCACAAACCTTTTGCCTCCATGAATCCCACCACCCTTCCAAAACCCCTTTTCCCCTAGAAATTGCTGCCTCCCCAGCTCAGGAGCCTCGCCACTCAAGCACATCAGCAGCAAATCTCAAATTATTCATTGATTCCCTCCATAGAGTCTGGAGAAAACAGCCAAAGGAGTTGCATGGAGCAAGCGTCCTCCTTGTGTTTTCCCAGTAAGGAAGCAAAGGCTTTCCAAAATGCCCTCAGATGCCACCATCCATGGAAACGCTGTGTGGATCCCAAACTCAAAAGGCAGGTGCCTTTCCCAGTCACCAGGACATGTCACTGACAAGGCAGGGACAGGCAAGTTAAAGTGCATTGTATCACTGGGTCAGAGCAGGAGATGGAGACCCTTAAGAGTAATGGTACTAAAACTGCTTGAAGAAAGCAATTAATCCTAGTGACCTCGGGCATGTGGCTGGGCTCTTCACACCAGCCGCAGACACTGACCAGTGATTAGGAAGCTATTTAGGAAGTAATCCTGAAAAACATACTTTCATTCTTTTGCTTTATGGGGCAATCTAAACGATGTAAACAAGACATTCAAAATAAGGACCCTGTTGCTTCCAAAAGTAACTCTGAGCACAGTCCCATGGACTGTTTGCTCTTTGAGCGCAGTTTACAGTTCGCCTTTAGAGCTCACCGTTGGTTGCAAATTATTTCTGCCTTAACTGTGCAAAGACGACTATTTTGCTCACTTTGAGCCCCTGTAACGAGGCACCTGGAAAGACACTACGTAGCTGGAATGAGTTGTGCTCTGCCAGGCGAGCTGTTTCCAAAGGAGCTTTTTAACACCTCCTCATCCCAGCAGAGACTAGCCAATATTCACACACTCTTCTGCAGGAGAGAGCAATTTTTCTGGTCTGGCATCCATTGCCAGCAATGGACACAGGGAGTTTGGTCAAATCAGTCTGAAAGCAACCTGGGAAGTGTAGGAATACTGGAAGCACTTGTAAACGTCACTGCAGTGCACCACCAGGACATCCTGCTTCAGCTCCCTGTGGCATCTCCTCCAGACACTGTGGAGCAGAGCTGGTTCAACATGGCTTGGGAATTAAGTATTAAATCCAGTTCACAGGCGCCCTGCTGTCAGGACGGCTCAGAAGGTGCTCTCGAGCAGACAATGGCATCCACAGCCTGTGGGGCACACCTCCTGGGTGCGAAACCACTCCATCATATGGCTGGTGTGGCCTCCGTGTCCGCATGTCAGGCAGAAATTAGAGGAGCCTCGCACTGCCACGTGACAGATAGCGCACTGGAAAGTGAAGCCCTTGCAGATGGCACACTGGGTGCCACGCACCTCACTGCGGCAGTGGCTGCAGTACACGCCGAACTCTGGTGGGAAGAAAGAAATGGATAGCAAGACAATTAGTGCTGACAGAATCGTGGACTAAGCAGCCCTGCATACAGCCCCCCGTTCGAGAAACGAGTCCCCTGAACCCACTGCCCAAGAGATTTGCCGCAAATATCCTTCAGGGTGGGAGAATGGTGACTTTTAGAGGTCTCAGTTTGGTCTCCATACAGGAGCAAAGAAACAGGCAATTGGCGTGCTGGGGCACAGAGTGGCCCACTAATTCCCCTGATGGCTAAACAGCTGTCAGCTGGGAACATATGTCTGATTTCTAGCTTGGGACACGCTGACACATGCTGCGGAGATGAAGGCTTCCCGCTTGTCTTATCTCTATGAAGTGTAACTAAGAGCAAACGAGAACAGCCTTTGTTTCTCATCATGGAGAGAGCACAGAGCACACTCGATGCGTGCTGTCAGCGCGGTCAGTGCCATGACCATTAGCCATGGAGGGGCGATGGCAGTGGTCAAAGGCACCAATTTTCACTTTAGTTACTCCCTAGGAGGAGTCTCAGGTGACAAGGTGAGACAACTGCTGCTTCTCTGGCATCTCTCATCTGCTGCTCTCCTCCCAGGTCAAGTGCATTTTTTCCCAGAGGCCTAGGAAGAACACATTTTGGCAGCTGTTCTTAAGCGGCAGTTCTGGGTACCTATGCTGCTGAAAATATTTTGGGAGAAACGCTCTGTTTGCCTATTCTTGGCTAGCTCACCCACAGTTAGAGATCTTGCAATTTTACGCAGGCACTGTAAGGACAATTCAGCCCAGAAGCAGGAATTAGGACACTGCATGTCTGGGCTCTTATTCGGAGAGAATAAAGAATAGCCATCAGCATAAATAGCTGAACATTGCTAGGGTAGCAGTATGTACATTGCCAGCTTCGCTGGAGAGATGTTACAGTCTACAAAGCCCTTGAACCAACATCTGCAAGGCTCATCTCCACCCAGAGCTGCGAAGAAGCCAAAACCATTTGCTGGCAGAGCTAAACTCTGGGCAGATCAATGGACACTTTTCATCCTGCCTGCTGACTGCATGTTCCTAAGCTCCTGAGGCAGAGCTGTGACTCTGCCTGGGCAGCCAGAGCAGACTGAAGCAGGCACTCACCAATTCCTTTGTGGGGATCAGGAGGACAAGAGACAAACTTCAGAACCTCAGCCCGCTTCTCTCGCAGGCCCCAGCGATAAAGGATTTCTCCATAGCACTTCTTAAAGTCATCAAATTGCTGAGTATTGGCAGGATCCAGGAGCCTTGAGGAACAAACAGGGTTGTCATCCACCTGATTTGCTCTCAGAGACTCTGGTTGCAATCCTCTTCCCAGTGATGGCTATGCAACCAGCTCACATCACTAGAAGAGCGGCAGATTACTTCCCATGTGTTGCTGAAACATCACTGAACACTAACTGGTCTGGCCTTCGCTTGTTCTACACTCAAGTGTGGACTCAATGGGTGGACTGCCCCGCCCCGGGGCCCCCACCATGGCCACCTGTAGATGTATCATATGCAATCCCAGCAGAGTTGATCTGCAGTATGAAGCTTCTCCAAATGACCATCTGAATGAAACTGTCTAGGAGCAGGCATGCTACTCTCTTTCTAGTCTTCACACCACCAACAGAGACCTGGCTATAGAGTTCCAGCTGACTTGGGCACAGAGTAAGGCATCCCTGAATACCCCCAAGGCATGCTACAACCTACCTTTTGTTTTTCTCATGCTGGTCTTTCTCACGCTCCCGATGATCAGGATACATTAGGTTTCCGTAACGGAAGTCATCTGGAGAAGACTCGCACCAGGGAGTGGAGGCCTGCTCCATGTCTTTGTTTGCTGCAAGCATCAAAGGTCGTAAGCATACCTCAGAAAGCACAGCACTTACGAGCAAAACTTCCTCAAAACCGGAGAAGGAGACATGGAAGACCGCACATTCGCACACCCCAGTTTTCTCTCTAAGACATGGTCATATCACCTTCTGTATTCCTACAAACACTGCCGTACCTCAGAAAACTAAGTGCCAACCTCTACTTGCCAAGTGCTTCTACTGCACTTCTGGTGACAGGATAGGAATGGGGATCATCAGGCAGAGAAATCTAATACGGAGGAATCCCTTTTGCCTTCCGCTTTAGACAAAAAGTAACTACGCAATCAATCCCATGGAGTTTGCTTGGGAATGTTAATCCCGGCAGGTCTGTGCTCCGCTTTCCTAGACAGGGAGGACTCTCATCACCAGGGCTGCTGTTACGTAAAGGGGCCTCTGTATATAAGGTATTGCCCTGGGGGCAGGGAGAAGACTGCTAATAACCAATATAAGACAACATCAGCTCTGTTAACCCCCATTCTGCACTCTTCCCCGTGTCACAGATGCTTTGATATCAAACTGAAAAGTTACAGCTTTGGTGCTAACAGGGCTGATGCTGCCTCAGGCCATGTATATCACTAGCAATCAGCCAACAGCTTTAACTCTGACACTGGAGCCCTTTAGAGTGACTTGTCTTTGACACCTTCACAGCTCAGCAGAAAATGCCCTTAGGCCTGCAAGTACTCATGGCACCAATAACCCAACCTTCCCAACCACTGCTGTTTTTTCCAGTGACAGGAGAAAGCACAGCATTGCCATTTCCCCCCAAACTCTGTGGAATTAGCTGGCTGATGACATTGCGAGGTCACTCTTGATAATTGTTGAGTGATCCTGGTGACTGGGAGAGGTACCTGAGCACTGGAGGAAAGCAAATGTCACTCCTGTCTTCAAAAAGGACAAGAGGGAGGACCCAGGAAACTGCAGGCCAGTCAACCCAACCTTGATCCCTGGGAAGGTGATAGAGTAGCTAATCCTGGGAACCATGTCCAGGCACAGGAAGGACAAGGAAATTACCAGGAGTAGTCAGCATGGATAACAGCCTCAAACTGTGCAAAGCGCTAGGGCTGTGGAAAGCCTACGGCACCAGGCAGCATTGAGGCAGTCACCCCGAGTGTTTGCTATAGCCAGGCTGGAAGCAAACCAGTACAGTGGTCTGTCCCTTTACTTGTCACCATGTGGAAAAGGCAGCAGTGTGAGCTCTGGGTTAACCTGTGATCCAGGCGACTAGCTTGGTACGTCGAGGGTGTTTGTAACAATTTCTCCAAAGCCCAGTCAGACAGCATGCTACAGAAGTCAGAAGGGGCAGGACTGCGAGAGCATTTACACAGTTACTGCAAGCCCTGTTCACTTCCAGCCATGGAGTCACATCACGTTGGCCAAACCCCAGAAAGCTGCTCTGGCAGCAATCACAGCCAGTACTAACTCCCTTCTTTCCCCACCATAGGAGCAATCTAAAACCTAGGCCAGAAGGGAGGCAGGTTCCTCTGTTTACTCCCCAGGTCTCAGTACCTATGCTCCAGCCTCCAGTGCCAAGTCCAGGATCTGACATGCTGGAACAGGAGCCAGAGGAAGTAAAGCTGGGCTGTTGAGGGGGAAAGGAAAGGAAATCATGTCATCTACCTGAAAGATGTTCAAAGATATCCAAGAGAAATGGGAAAGAAATGGCGGTCATACATATCGGCTGTGGGAGGCCAGGTTGGAGGCACGCTGAGGAAAGGGGCCATAGGAGTTTGGGCAGCCCTGTAGCCTGGATTGGGCTTCAAACACGCTGCACAGCATGGCCAGGGTCTGCACATCGTGGAGCTGTGAGTAGTGAGCCAGCCTGGGAAATGAAAAAGAGAGACAGTATGAGATTGGGCAAAATTCAGTGGCAAAGGCATTGAGACTCCAGGGCAACTAATTTCGAGCCTGTTGCATAAATCCATTTGGGTCACATTACTGCCCACAGGAGGCATGTGTGTTCTGCAGGACTGGGTTGTCTTTTCTGTCATACCTTTAAGGAGCCAAGTCCTCCTTCTGAAAACACTCGTGGCCTAACAGGTGGGGGAATCCAGCAGTACTTGTGGCCTGATTATCCCAAGTTTGTGCAGCTTCAGGAACAATGCCCATAGAACTGATTTTAACTGGATGTAATGCTGGAGCCATTAGACTCACTCCCAGACACAATGTCTTTTTGACAAAACCCTCTACAAGCAAGCATCCTGCATCTAGATCACAAGGCAAGGCAAAACCCCACCACACGTTTTCTGGATAGCTGTGAAGTTTCTGGATTGCTCTGAAGACTCAGAGTGACGAAGAACTACCTGTGTTCCCCCTCCCACTGCTGCCATACAGCAGGAAAGAGCTAGGTCAAGCAACAATATACAAAGTACACCACACAAATCCTGTACCTCCAAATAGGGTGTATTGACAGATAATATCAATTACTAATTATGTCCCCTACTGAACAGATTCACTGGCAGGAAGACATTTGCAGCTAACACTTGGCTTTGAGACCAGTTGAATGATTTCCCAGTAATGCTATATGGCAACAGCGAATCTGGAGGTGAAAAAAGCAGCTGCACCAGCATGCTCATTTAGGAGGTGGGGAGCACAAAACCAAAATCTCCAAGTCAGGCATTGTGGGCATGCTGGAAAGCAGAGCTCCAACTGTACCTAGCCTATTGCTCAATGTTAGCCAAGGAAGACCTGGGTGCTAGACGGGAGGCCAAATGCTACCTCCTGCATGTCATAAACACACTTGCAGCTTCCCTTCTTGATGCATCTCAGGCTTGAGAGGGGGAAAAAAAAAAAAATACATACTACTCCAAATCTGAAATGATGCCTTAGAATGTACATAGTTATGGAGGGCTCTGCTTCAGCAACCATTCCCCAACCCCTCCCCAGCATTCAGACACCTACAAGGACTCCAGTAATTGGCGTCCAAATGGATGTTGTGCCCAAGGTATCTCCAAATCTGGGTCAGACTTCGGTCCAAGACAGAGATCAGTGGCGACCATGGCCAGTGACCAAACCTGGCAGACAGGAAGGAAAAGCATCAAAGCTACAATTAGAAATAACCACACTCCCAGGGCATAGGTGTGCACAAATTCACTCACAGACAGATAATAATGGAGCTTGCTTTTTTTTTTTTTTTTCTTTTTTTCTGGCAGCAGGCAGCAGTTTCAGCCTCCGTGTCACAAATAACATGTAGAGTAACACAAAACCGAAGCTCTCCCTGTCCCACGTGCTTTGAGTTTGGGTTAAACTTTGAAGAAGAATTGTCTATAGTCTAACAGACCTGTCAGGGTAGCCTAACAGACCTATTAGTGCATTTTATATTCACAAATCTCAAAAGGGTTTAGATTTGATACAGTTCTTGGGTTCAGAGATGTCTGGTGGCAGAAAGTTTACTGGTGAATTTATTTGCATGAAAAGTATCTTTTGATTAGTTGTGAGTGTTACTGAACACCTCTGTTCTCCTAGCACAGCCCAGCACAGACAGAAGTACAATTTGCCATTTCTACTCCAACAGTTTAACTGTTAGATTTCATGTGAAACTTCTCCTTCATTTATGATCCTCTACTCTGAAAACGGTTCCATCCTTTCAGTCTCTATACCACTGATCTAGAACTGTTTTTTCTGCTGTGCCTTTTAAAATGGGGCAATTAGAATATTCCAGGGAAAAGCAAAGCTCCTAGTTTGGCATGAAAAAAAGAGCAGGAAAGGAAAAGGAGCATAGTGCTGGAAAGACAGCAGAAATCAGAGAGCTGACAACACGGAAAAGTAAAGAAAAAACACATGCTCCAGGTACAAAGAACAGCCAGGAACAGTAGTCCCACAGCTGCTCACTGTGCAACCAGAGAGAAAGAAACAGGAGAGAAAGTGATTAAAGGACAGGGCTGAGTACAAGAGAGCACAGAAAGGAAATGGGAAAGATGCCAATTCCTACACTACTATAGAGCACATCTCACATGTAACCTGCAACTCAAGCCTCCACGTCTTCTAGGAACAAGGCAAGCTGCAGTACAAGCTGGAGTTGCACAGGGCAGGGAAAAACAAGCAAGAAACAGAGGTATCTCAGAGAATCTTGCTGAAGTTATTCCACCAAAGCCCTGGTCCAAGGTGGGCAAACCAGACAGCAAGATGAAGCACAAAGGGGAACTAGACCTACCTTCTCTCTCCTGGTCTAGCAGAACCAAGAAGCAAGACAACAGCTTGAGTTTGCTTCTGCTTAGATCAGGTAAGCCTATGCATGTTCCCTGCCCACGTCTAGGAAGAGCCAAACGCTCAGGTGAGGTGCACAGCTCCTCTGGCAGTGCCAGCTCCCATCTCTTTCAGGCACTGCTGCGTCCTCAAATGTTGTGCCTGTTGCAATGGACTAATTGCACAGAAAAGGATGGGCCATAACAGCCATTTTTCTCCTATTATTAGCTGAAGGCAAGTAGCCAACCCCATTCTGGACCTGGGTCCCTGGGCTCAGACTCTCTTGGAGAGAAGCTAGCTGCAATTAGCACCCAGTGCCAGCAGAGATGAATACCAAACAATGAGAACAATTACATAAGTAAGAAAAAAATCACCAATCAAAATGCTGACAGCAGCTAGGCAACTCTGTGCACAGCTACTCCATTTGCTGACTCAAAAGTAGGCTGCATTCCTGGCTTTGCCTGCAGGAATTCCCTGAAAAATGTGCTTCACTCAGTCTGGCAAAGGGCATAACACAATCTGCTTGCAGCCCTAGGAAGGGATTTCTCAATGCCAAGTGTCAATGAGGTAGAAGCCACCGCCATGGCTGTTCAACAGGCTTTGGTTCACCAAAAACCCAGATGGCTCTTTGGGTATCAAGGTGACAGCACAAGCCATTTGAGGGTAGTGCAGCACGCTGAGGAAGAGGTCTGATTTAACGTCATACCTGTACGAGATCCCTCCGTCCCACAGCCAAGGCTGAGGCGGCATTCTTCTGGCAAGTCTCCTGGATATTATTCACATTCAGTCTAAAAAGAAAGGAGATAGCTCAGCTCTGGCTTGCATGTTACCTATGAAGGTGGGCTGGGATGGGGGGAAAGTGGTACTGGCAGCAGCGAGCAGCTCAGAACTTTCTGATCAATACGAGCATGCTAGCATGGCTAGGATCCCATCCCATTCCTTCTCTCTTATTCAGGGATCACCTCCATCCTTCTCCCACTATTCATCTTCATTAACACACCACACATCAAGTCCAGTGCCAAACTAGCTGGGATTGATCTTAAAAAGCACCATTTCCAAGGAGATATCGGACTAAACTTGTGCCAGGATACCATCAAGCCAAGATGCATTCTTGTCCCTAGAAGCTGGTGGTTACATGGTCCTGTTCCCCTTCAGCCTGTTGGTCTGCTCTCACTGACCTGGAGGGAGATGGTGGTACGCTGTGGAGAAACAGGTTGGTCTTCAGCCTATTCCCCAGTAGGGTAATGCACCCACCGAGGAGTCTCCAAGATGCCAGCAAGGTGGGCTGAGGAAACCCACATGGGCTTTCCTGCTTATTGTCAGAAATCTTCCTGAGACACTTGACACTTTTACTGCTTAAGGTCTTACAGGAAATGGAAAAGAGTCAGGCTGTTTACACATGAGATATCCAGAGAAGAAAGGTCCAACACATCTTTTTAAAGAACATTCTTTTTAATAATGTAGAAAAGAGAGAAGGAAGATTTCCAGCCCCCCTGGGAGAGAAGCCTGCTTCTTCCCTGAATGTCCACAGACTGGAAATTCTGTCAAGGACCAGACAGTATTACCAAAGCTAAGGGAGAAAAAATTTAGGAGATTTTGTAACTATCTGAATTAGATAGTTTGGAAAAATAAGCCCCTTGTTTTTCAAAAAAAAAACCCAACCCAACAAACACCACACAGAACTTCTCCATCCTTCCCATTAAAGTAGAAAAACTTCCTGGACGGACACTCGCCTGTACAACCAAGTCTCCAAGTGAATGGGGCATTCCAAGTACTTCTGAAATTAAAAAGCCTTATGAGCTACTAACACTTTTATAGTTTGAAAATGAGCATTTATTGGGATTTTTAAGCCTGTGCATTTAAGCGTGGAGTTTAACATGAGATTTGAAAAAGAATTTGTACTGATAATCTCTCTCTTTAGCTGGCAAAAACCTGAACCTGTAAGATTTGCAGTGATGATGCTGGAGCACCAGTTCAAACTGTGTACAATACCCCATCACAAACTTCTTCCATCACACTTTTCAGATTTATAGGAAACAAGTGCCCTCTCACAGGCAGAGAGGGATACAGTAAAAAAAAACAGCAAGGCAAGAACAGAGGAAGAAGGTAAGGAAACATTCAAAGATCAGTGCTGACTGATTTCAGTATTAAAGCACAGCAATGCCAAAGATGGCTGTTTTCATTTGGGAAAGGATGCCAGCCCGTACTCACATGTAGAGCTCTCCCAGCAGCTTGTGGACAGGCAGCAAGCAGGAAATATCTTGGATAATAACTTTCCCAGCGGCTTTGATGGGTCGGTTGTTGGCATCTGTCCCTTCTCGTTTGCTTTTCCACCTCCTTGATTTCTGCAGAACAAATGGCAATGTGTTACTGGGGAGGAGGACAGCAGGCTTCTTGGGCCAGGGAACAAAGCACTAGGGTCAGGAATAATGCAAGCAGCACCCAAACCTGCCTTTCAGAAGGCTCTGTGTTACCCTGGAAAACATCTGTGACATGCCAGGAGAACAAGCATCTCCATCTGTAGGAAGTGAAAAGCAGGTCAAGGCAGAGAGCTCAAGGTCAAACTCACTCAAAAAGTCTTTTGTGAGTTCCCCTGTGAAAGCCAATAAGAGAACAAATCAGCATCGGGATGCCAATCAAACCTGGGCAGGTTTGGCAGGACAGCTCAATTATTCTCATTAGAGGTCTGGTCTGGGAACCCTCTGCACACAGACCACTGCTGACTTCACCCAACATCAGCACAGAGGCATGTGGGAGGCAGCTTCTGCTTGCCCTGAGTGAGCTTCAGGGCAAGCTGACAGCTCCAGACTGTCTCTTTTGGTCTCTTCTTTCAGTGTTTGAGTACACCCCTGTTTAGCACCAGGACAGGGCTCCCAGCTCCTGCTTTATCAACAGCTTCGAACAAACAATTGGCAGATGATAAAACAGGGCCCAAGTTTTCCTAGCAAGGATCCTTAGCTACCATGCTCACAGCTACTTACAGCTGGCTCAGGACATAAGGTGGGGGGAGAAGAAAGGAGAGGAATCAACACAAGGGAACAAAAACAAGAAGCCAAGATGATTCCCAAATACTCCCAGTAATAGACGGAGACCATCTAAACACCAAGCTGCTTAAAGTTACTTGGCTGTATGAAACACCGTAGAGTATTTGGCTGGTATCCTGGCCCCTTCCAGCTCCTCACTCTAGGAGGGTGAGGAGGAGGGATGAGAGGATGTGCAGCAGCACGACAGGCAGAAGGCACTGGAGCTCTACCGAGGGAAGCACTGGCTGCTATGCAGGGTTCCTAAGTGCAGCAAAGGATGCTTTGCAATGCTGCTCCCCTGTGGCGTGTTCCCTCACAGACACACAGAGTCCATGCTCCTGTGCAGAAGTGTCTCCTGGTCATACTGAGTTATGGAGAGTCTCCTGAGACACTTCTGGTGGGGCTTCCTACACCCCCATCTGAAGCAGAACAGTACCTTTGAAGAAGCCAGCAAAGCAGCCCTGTGCTGATGGCTCCGCAGCGCAGGCAGAGCTAGCACAGGCAACACATGGGTGCTCCTAAAGAGCAGGCTGGGCTACAGGAAGGGCAGGACTTGGACCTGCAAGCAGGGTCACTTCTACTGTGGACGTCGGGCCAGCTTTGGGATGGCTGGGTGCGAAACTGCCTTTGACCATGATCAGGCAATCCTATGAGAACCTGGCAGGCTTATCACAGACACAAAATGCCCTTAAAAAACCCAACTACTGACCTTAAGAAATTAATTCCTTCTTCACTGCCTGCCTGGCCCAAGCTTAGGCCCATGTGCTGAGGGAGGTTTTGCCACACTGAGCGTACTGCTAGCACATGCCACAAGAAGCAAAAAGGATGTGCTCCTGAAGTCACTTTGGACGCTGGGTGACCAAGGCTCAGAGGCTCAAGCACAGGCTCGACAGTAAGTGAAGGAGGTGTTTCAGACTTGAAGGCAGTGAAGGTGGATTTTTCGAAGGATGCCTATGTGACAGAGCATCACCACGGTTCCCTTGGTCTTCCACCATTCCCCAGAGTAAAGAGAAGCAGAATGTGCATGCTACCCAACATTCAGAGGTGTCAAATGCTGGTGGAAACAGGGCTGTCAGCATTCAGTGCTATGGAAAAGCTGTCTGACTAGGGCATGATTCTGTTCTTTGCCATGTCCCCTCAAGTTGTAATTCATCCAAGCAGAATTCACCTGCACTATTTATCTGCTAAATCACTCCAAAGCTGAGCAGTGCTATGCAGTGGAAGGTGGCTAGAACATGGTCAGGTGGGAGACCAAACTCTTTTCAGTCCATCAGTTCCTAATTGAGGCCCTGCCTGGATCAGCTCTGGCTCTCTTGCCATTGGGCAGACTATACTTCTTTTGATAACACCTAAAGATGTAGCTACCCTTCCTGTGCTGAAGGATGTGGGCTGTATTACAACCAGGTTCCCAAATAAAAGCAGCACCTGTACCTCACTCCTTGTCAGGGCAGCCAAATGCTGTCTCCTACGTGCAGCAAGGAGCTGCTGATGCTGCCAAAAACAATACTTGAGCAAAGCTTGGGAGCCCCAGCACAACAACCTGCCATCAGGCAAGAGCTCAGGCACTGTCCTGGAAGGGCTACCAGGCATCTCACAACAAAAGCTGTTATTTGTGCTGTGTCCGAGCAGGTATTTGAACCCAGGCTTGCAGATGCAGAACCACATTCTGCAGGTCTATCACCAAGGGCTTCTAGAGCTCGGCAGGTAATCTGGAGAGCAACTTGCCACCTCCTGACCATCTGTAAGCCAGCTGTCCCCAGGACTTGCAGCTGATGCAGGTTCTCTGACCCATCATCAGCAAGAGATTCAACCTGCTCCTGCCCTCTGCAAGAGCGGACTGAAGAAGCCTCCCAACAGGCATTTCAAAGACTAGAAACATGGACAACACATATCACTTTCCACAGGTAATTCAGTCACTTTTTTTTTTTGGAGGAGAATGACAACAAATGAGGATGAGAATGGAAAAGAGATCCCATGAATGGTTGCCGCTACTTGCTGTTAGCGTATCACCAGACAAATGAAGACGCTAAATGTATCAGAACCCCCTGAAAACTTGGACTCACAACAACATTGTCCTGTTTTCTTCCTCTTAGCACTGCCTATTTACTGGCAAAGAGGGAAGCCCTAATTCTTCACTGGCGCAGCTCCTGGAGTAGAGTCAGTTGATGGCCATATGCCCTGCCAGTACTACACTTCCATGACCACTACTTCCTGCCCCTCGAGCTGTGACAGAAGAAAATCATAAAACCACATGTAGAGTCACCATTAAAGATGTCTGGTTTTTGCAGTTCAGGTTTGCCTCAGCTACAGCAACAAAGTGTTAGAAAAAACTATGATCAGAAGTATGGGAAACATCATGGATGAGGTAAAGCTCATTGCCATTGACAGCAGAAGCTCTACTTTGAACCAAGTAATTGCTGGCGTTAATTACAGGAGTAGCTCTCCACCAGGCAATATTTGAACACTTTTAACAGGGATTACCAGAGGCAAGGAGAGCTGTAGCCTGGGTCTGTCTGGCCAAGGTCCACTACAACGTTCCTCCCTCCCTTCTGCCTCACCTCTTCTCCCAGAAGCAGCTCCCACTATGGTGTTATCGAAAGGTGTCACTGAGGCTCACGGGCATTAGGGTAGAACAGAAAATATGTCTCTTCCTAGGGGCTGGAGCACAGGTCACGAGGGGGAGCAGGGAACATAACGGTTGGAGCTGAAGCAGAAATCAACATGCATGCACCAGGCTAACTATTGACAGCTGAAGGGCAAAGACATAGGTCTTCTGCACTGCCCCCAACACGTCTAGCTCTTTCTGCAGCCTAGAATCCATGCCAAGGAGAACTGCATCTACACAGCTGCTCCTGAGAGTTTAAGGAGAGGAAGAAAAGAAAGAAAATAGCTACAGTGATAGTAAATTAAGACTCATCAGCTCCTCAGAGCACCAGAAGGAAAGAAACCAGAGCATTTATGACAATCATGGGGTTGGAGGTGATAGCGGGTAACAGCACTGAATAATGACTAAGAAAGCCAGCCTGCACCTGCACTACCATACCCAAGGCTGTAATTTGCTGCAATCTGAGGTGATAACGATGGCAGTAAATGGGTTACATGTAGAAACAGATAGCCCAAGAATAAGCCACCAACTGCTTCGTAGCAACCACCATCATCACTGCATACTCAGCAGAAGTAGTTAGAAAATGCTGCATGCCTGCTTGGAAAGGATGCTGAACAGTTGGGTATGTGTGTCTTTGGATCCTGCTGAGGCAGGCAGTGCTCTAAGTAGCATCATGAAATGTGAAGTGCCTGTTTCACATAAGCGTATGCAAAATTTCAGGGTTTGTGGTATAAACTGGTATTAGTAGGGCAAAGAGAAAGGTTGCGGACAGAAGGGAACAGACTTGATGCCAAAGATTAAGCTGCAATAAGGCATTTATGAAATAAAGAGTTAAACCTGCTAAAAGTCAGTTTCAAGCTGCTTCTAGTATTATTTTTTTTAGATAAAATTTAAAAATTGCTGGCTCCTTAGAGAAAGCTATGCTCCTTTATTCTGAACAACTGCCTACAGATTAACTCCCCCATGCAGGTCACGCAGCACTGCCTGGATTTTCTCTTCAAAATAATCAACATTTACTATTTCCAGCATCTCCCACAGTACCAGGCACCTTCCACAAAGGGGCTAAAAAAAAAAACAAACCAACAATCTGAGGCACTTTTGAATCAAGTACCCCACAGCAGGAATATTTCTTTATAGCTTACATCAATTAATAGCTGGCACCTGCCCTGAAGCACAGGGATTTCTGAAGTGGAGGCTAGTCATTACCTAGAAAGAAGGAGGAGTTATTTCTTCTTCTAGACTTGCTAAGCTCTTGCTTCCCTGAGCACCTTGAGCAATGCTGAGCAATTCTTCCAGAAGGAAGGTCTGCACAAATAATCCACACCTCTCCTCGTGCATGCCCACATCTTCGCCTTGGGCACTATTGCCAGCTTTATAGAGCGTGATTAGCCTCTTCCAAAGGTTATCCACAAATACAATCAGTCCTTCAAGACTTGGACTAATCCATGTATCATTTTTAAGTATACATTACACAAAATTATAACTTTATCACATCGTTACTTGTTCTTCCTTCCAAGCCAGTGGTAAGGGAATTAAAACTGTGGCCCTTTGTGCACCACAATTTACCACACCACAAGCTGGCAAGTTCCTTGTTTGGTTTTCTTTCTTTCAGTCTGTTCCCGATCTAAGACAGAACTCCATTTCTTGTCTCCACTGCTCACATTTCTTCATTAGCTCTTTGCAAAAAGCCTTGATGGAGTCAAGTAAATTACTTCTGGTTTCTTTCACCAATTATTTGCTAGTATAGCCTTAGAGCTGTTGTAATTAGGAAGGCTTGATCCTATTATACCAAGTTAAATTAGGTGTTACAGGATTCTATTTTATTCCCTGCTGTCTTATGAAGAGATAGCATGAAGGACAGCAGCTGTGAAAAAACAGTTGTTCACACAGACATTAAGAAAAACGGATCTGAAGAGATCATCTTTAAATTGAAATGGAGTTTTCTAAACTTTGCCTATGCTTGGCAGATGAGTGATGAGATAGTAATTGCCCAAATTTACAGCACAGCTTGAGCAATGCTGATATCATCAAGATGTTCACATGAATGATGTTCAAGCTTGAGGGACACGTGGACCTGACTAATGGAAAATGACTGTCAAAGCAGTCTCGAAAGGGCAGGTGCCAGCAGGAGGGAGTACCTGCCAGGGTGGCTGGAAGTGCAACCACTCGAACTGAACGCAGGGTGGTGCAATTCCAAGGGCTGGGAGAAGATCACAAATTAAGGAGAAATTCTATTTATTGCTCCAGGAAATAAGACTTTATGGTGCATTGCACTGAGAATAGGCAGCTCATTTTAATGAGATGACAGATCATTGTCAATAACTCAACCAGTTTGTTTCTTCCACAGCTCTTAAGTAATTCTCCCTCTTCAGCAAGGCTTCATCTTTTTCAGAAACAAGGTGCTCTAATGTTAGTCTCATCAGTTGGTTGATGATGCATAATAATCATTCAGCTCCTCTGCAGCGCACACTCTGTTTCTTAGAGGTTGATCTTTTCTTACACTTCAAACTACCCCTTGGCATCCTTTCCTGACTGCTAGACCAAGTAAAATAGGCATGTTGTAGGTCGGTATTTGTACCCTGCAAACTAGTGTCTGCTCCTGTCCACTTACACGTGCATTCACTCTTACTGAAGCCCTGTGTGGAGTGCAAGTCCCCCACCTCTGTGCAGGTTACTCAAAGGCAGGCAGGTGGCATTTTATTCTTGGGCCTTGGGCAGAAGACAGGGTTAGATCAAGGACAGTATTAGCACAGCGCACAGTACCGGGAAGTCGTTAATTGCTTGTATGGACCAACGTCGCCGGGCAGAGCGAGGAGACATCTGTATGTGAAAACGTTATACCCAGGAAAAGGGAAGAAAGACACCAAGAAAATTAAAGACAAAGGTAAATAAACTGAAATGAAAAGTGCCCTGAACCAGCAGAGTAAAAGATACTGTTCCCAATGGTTCTGTTACACAACAAACAGTTGCAAACCACGATCCCCACTTTCATCCACACACAATTATACTATACAACATCACCTACAGCCCTGGAAAAGCAAGGGCTGCTGTGTCTGTGCTCCACACAGACACTGTGGAAGACTTTGGCAACCACAAATCTGAATAAAGTCTTCCACACAGAGTTATATTGCTGCAAGAAGCACTGAACTGCTTCATGTGACCTTGTTCATACCATGAATTGACAGCAGAGCAGAGGACAACACCCTGGTGCCCCACATGCCAGGCTCTTGCTCTAACCAGTTTTAGTCCTCTTGGCTGAAGAGGAAGGCAGCTAAGTGCAGACTGCATTTAACACATCTGTCCAGCACCATGGCACAGAAATCTGCAGGAAGCTAAATAAACACTCCTGCTTACTCAGATATCCCTTTAACATCCAGCATCCTCCAGGACTTCATTCACTGGAACCTGCTGTAACTGTTCACTTTCATTTTAAAAAACAAAAGCCACATGTCAGGATATTAGAAGGATGTAGAGACCCAGCTACTTGGCAGGGCCATGTAGAAATTGTCATTATAGGTTGAGGAACTCATTCAGGTTGAGCGAGCAATCAAATTCACTGACTGTCTATGCAGAATAGGTCCAAAGTAGGCTTCCATTACGAACTTGCAGACATTTCATTAACTACTCAATGCAGTATTATAGCAAAAATAAATGGAATCCCTCAAAGCACATTACTGTGCACTCAGTTGAAAAAAAAAAAATTTCTGTTATAGTTCTGTAAGAGTCAACACAATAAAAAAGGTTATTTGTATTGTGTGCAATGTATTTTACATTTATTTCCAGCTGATGATAGGCAGTTAGGACCATCAGCCATGCCTTCATCTCTTGCATCTCACTGCTGGGAGAACCCTGCAGTCAGGGAGCCGAGGGATTAGCCTGGCTGCAGAGCCCTACAGAAAGAGAGAAGACCGTAGCCTTGTGCTACAGGTTCCTCCACCAGGCCTCACAAGAGAAGAAAAGGGTTAGTTGAAGGAAATGAGGTACAGTGAAGAAGAAACAAAACTAAGCTCAGTCCCCCCGGCAAAGTCCTGCTCTCCTGTAGGCAGCCACTGCTGCCAGCCTATGCTCCCATGTGCTGTGAATTTGAGAGCTCTGCAACCGGGTGGGCACCAGGCAAAGCCTGAGGGATGTCCTGAGAGGCAGCAGTTTCCAAGCCCTGCCAAATTCCCCAATGGGAAGCACTGAGGACACTGCTGTCACCACCCCTGTGTACAGCTGTCCCTCAGGCAAGGCTGAGCTGTTCCCAGGTCCCCACTGGCATGACCCTCTAACTAGGGGGGAGAAAAACACAGCCATGGCACCTTCTTTAAGAGACATCCAGGTTTGAAACACTGATGGCATTGCCACAGTATAGATACAGCTTATCCTTTCTGCTGACTTTCTATTCTTTAGTGGGTTTTTTTTTTGAGGAGTGAAAAAGAGGAAGGAAGAAAGGAGAAGTGTGCATGTGTGAATAAAGATACATATATGTGTGTGTGTCTCTCTCTGTGTGTGTATATATATACACACACGCATTTAAATGAGCACAGAAAGTCTTGTGCCAGATTTAGTTTCATTTTGGTTTACTAAGGAGATCTCTGCTGGGTTCAGCAGCTCCCCTGCCTTTATGGGAACATGACATATTTCCTGTCTAGCAATGGGGAAATTCCATTTGTTTGCTAACGGTGGCGATGCCTGTTGTTGCTACATGGGATTTAAATATCTGGTTATTGCTGACAAATTCAGTTTTGGGGCTGAAGTTATATAATATCAGAGTTTAACACACAAAATCTTAACTTTTATTTAATGCAAATATAAAATCCAAGCTTCAGAGAAAGGAGTCAACTAAATTCAGAGTCTGGGCTTTTTAAAATCCTCACAATGAAATGACATGAAAATATGTAGCATTGATCTAACAGAGGCCATGACATCAGCTCCTGAAGAATCAGAAAACCTTTGCTGAAAGGGGATGCATTTTGGGTTTTTTTGGGGTTTTTTTTGTTGGTTTTTTTTTTTTTTTTAAACTATTTCATCTGCAAGAACATTGGAGCTAGCTCCCTACTAGGGCCCTTAAACTTCTTCCAATCCAGCATGTGAGGAGCTAGCTTGGCAGGGGGAAGGGGAGCACAGGAATTTTCTCTGGCTTTCAGCAGACATGGCTAGACACATGCTTTGTTCTCTCAATTTTTTTTCCCCGTGACAAAAATCTTGTCGCCATCAATACAAGGGCTGGGGAGACAGGTCACATGAAATTGCACCAAGCTGCTTCCACATGTTATTTTTAGCCTTGTCTGTCATCTTAGAGAGCTGCGTGTCAGCGACAAGCACACTGCAGAGGACAGAGGTAGCTCTTTAAATAAACTCTCCTGCAAAGACTAGAACAGGCTGTAATTCTTGTACCAGGCAGCACCATTTCCTCTCCTCATCAAAAAGTTTGTGTGGGGAAAAAAACCAGAATGGGGACTCTGAGAGTCTTTTGGGGTCTGTATGCAGGCAAAGCTTCAATGGGGACAGAGACTCTCCCCACAGCTGGTCGGTGTAATGACTAACTCACATCATGTAAGCAGGACAAAGTCCCAGAGCCTGTCATGTCCAGCACTACTGGAAAATCAAGACCTCTTTCAGTGCCAAGGACAGATGAGAGCTCAAGGGTCTGACTTTCCCTCTGCTCCCAGGACAGGAGTTCCCAACCTCCGCTGCAGCAGAGTGCAGGCAGCTCTCGGTTTTCCTTGGGGTATCTGGAAGCTCTCCATTGCTTCAGCAGATTAGTGCCCTCAGCATGGACAGTGGGCAAACTACGTGTACGCTCCAAATTCTCAGGCTCTTGGTAGAAGCTTACGGTATTTTTGCAAGCCACTTCACCCCCTGCTGAAGCACAGAGAGTTTGTTTCTGAGCAAGCTGCGCAGCCTATTACTCCCACAGCATCTGTTCCAGGCACATCGTGCCCTCAGCTGCTTCAGAACTACCCTACAGTCACCCTACAATTACCAACAGATCTTCCTCACTCTCTGTGTCTCAGAAGGAAACAATCCCACTCTCCCCCAAAGACATGCTTGTAAACAGCAACGACAGCAAGACCTACACCTAAACCAGAAGTATGTGGACTGGAATATCTTTGAAGAATCATGTAGGAATTGTTTTTATTAAAAAAAAAAAAAAAAAAGTCCAAAGGGGCACATATCCCTGAAAGAAACTTGTAATAGAAATAACCAACTATACCCCATAACCCAGGAGAGGTTGCCAGTAAGCTGCAGAGAGCCACAACTCTTGGCAGTGAGGGAGTCAGGGAGTACTGAGAAAAGCAGAGCTGCCTACATGTACTTATCCGGAGACTACAACTTCTTAAGTGTGAGATTTTAACCCTACGTAATGCACAGTGTAATGCACTGAAGGAAGCTGTGATGGTCAGTGTAGAGAAATATCAAAATAAGCAGGTCAAATGCTAGAGAGGATTAGTAAAGAAGCTACTAATAGGAGATAAACCCATTTGACATTTTTACAGAGCTGCCTGGAAAAAGATGCCTTCTTAAGAGGAATATGAAGGTTCTTTTACTAGCAATGCTCACAGCTATATGGAAGGAATACAGATCACAATAGCTGAAGTGTTAGGAAAGGTTTTTTGGTCTGGTACTTACCCTCTCTTTGTAGTAGAAGGAGCTAATGGAGACCTGTTCTTTCTCACTGCGTGTTGGACTCCCACTGTACAAACGCAGATTGCCTGGAGTCTCTGTGCGGATCTTCATTGGAGTAATGAGGCCACTATGGTACGCTGATAAAGCTGACAGGGACCTAGAAACAAGAGAATACACTTTCAGGAGCTTTCACCCTCCAGATTGCCCTGGAGGCTCACACTGACATCACCACTAACCCAAGCTGCTAGCAATGTTTCGGGTGTTTTGAAAGAGTCTCTGCTAAGGGCCAGTAATAGAAGGGACCAGGCCCTCTGTGTCGAGGGCACAGCTAACACTAGAGGTCAGTAGCTTCAGTGCAGGATCTGATCCTCTTGTTGCTTTCCTGCCCATGACAGCAGCACACCTCAAATGTGACTTAGGGTACTCACCTGGGTGTGGGCTCCGTCGGGGACACTGCACGGTGCATGGTCATGGGTCTCGTGAAATACACCAGGTAGCCTGAAGAGACAGGACATGGCATAAAGATCATGCAACGAGGAGCAGATTACCCAGGGGTGGATTACACAGGGAAACCCAGTCATTTAAGGTATCAGAGTCAAGGGGCTGAGCGCCCATCCACTACCCTGAGAGTTTTTAAACTACAAGTAGACAACCACATTTTCTCAACCCAAATCCACTCCCTGCAAACCCATTAAAGAGCATGTTTTGTTGAGATGATTGTCTTAAAAGCACCATCTCAAGTGGCTTACAGATGTTAGAGAAAAGACAGGAAAACAAAATTAACAAACACATACTCATGTTTTAACTCTTCACCAGCACTTGTCAAGCACTGATACTCCAGAGGCAAGTGAGGTGATGTTTGGCTATGCAGAGAAACCATTGCAGCTTGTACAACTCTCCTCTTCAAAAGGATAACCCCAGCCATCTGGGGGTTTCAAAGCACTCTCTCACAAGCCTTATCCCATTTGTTAACATCTCAAGTGTCTTCAGATGCCCACTCTTGCAAGAGTTTCAGGACTTAGCAGGTTTCACTGAGCCTATTCAACGCAATACTACTTTGTTTTACTTTTGCTGGGAATTTGGTGAGGCCTGTATGAAAAGTAGCTTTCAAAACATGCTCAAATTGGGATGCAGTCAGGTCTGGAGGAGGCATGCTTGCGTCTGAAACAGCTCAGTGAAACTTAACAGCTCTTACTCAGAGCATAACCTGTTTTTTAAGGATGGTCTTTGCACTGTACGCTCTCCTGGAAACCTGGATGTGATTGTACCCCCTCTCCCACTTAGAAGAAGTTTCCCAATGACCTTGTAAAAGCTATTTTGGACAACAGAAAGGGTGAAAAATATGAAAAGAGTGGTTAGTAACAAGAATATGGTTTCAGCAAGGTGTAAGTTCAACCCCAAATCACAGGAATTTTGTGAAGACTGAGCACCAGAATACATCCAGCAATTTGATGCCGGTAGGAGAGAACTAGGCAAGGAAAATAGCTATTTCCAGTCTTCTGTAAAAGACAGGTCTGCCAATACCTCTGACATGTCACAAGCCAAAGGCCATCTCTTTAACTATCCCTGGATTTCCAAATCCTAAAATCCCGCATGCAACACCAACTACAAACAGTTGCTAACTAGTCTCATTATCTGTAAATTTATCACAACATCACTACTTTAATATCATTTCCTACCCCTTGCACGGCAGTGACCAAAGCCTCATCTTGTTCAGAGGCAACTGTTCCCCAAGGCATTGAAAGGACCGTTCCCCAGGTAGCTGTTGTAACATAATCAGCGATGGGGCTAACCTGCACCACAGAACCTGGCTCCAGAGGTCCGTGGAAATGGGATGTTAGAGTCCTGGTAGGAGCCATAGGCATTGGAGACCCGGGCGAACGTGGGCAAGGGGGGTGTTACGGAGTTTGACAAAGCGTAGGGATTGCTGGACGTGCTGTCCTCTTGGTTCTGAAACAGAAGTTACCCAAGAAGTCACACAGGAAGGAAACCCAGCTGGAGCACTAGGCATCGCAGGGCCAAGCAGCCTCACGGAAGGTGCTTGCTCTTTGAGCCAGAGCAGATCAAGCACAGAGCATGGTTATTGCTCTAGCTGCAAAGGCACTTACAAGCACATTTACCTTTGAGGAAAGGGCTTCTTTCCCACCATAGCTATGTTGAAATACAGAGCTTAACTTAGGGTGAAACAGTGGGAAACTATACAGAAAATCTGACCTTCAGACTCTGGATATGAATCTCAAGACAGGGAGTTGAGGTAAACCTGATACCTCAATGATGCAAGTGAGACAAAGGCTCCTTAAATAGGAATGCCATACAACTGCAGGGGGTCAAATGCAGGCTGGGAGTCTTGAAGTGAGGAAGGCAGGTGGTGCAAAATACTGGGGGACCTCAGGCCTATCCATAGGAATTTTGGCTGAAATCTGCATTTATTTGGATAAAGAGTACTATGGCTTAGGTCTAAAGAATTCTTTAAAGGCAGCAGTGCATGGCTTGAGTCATCAGATTTCCATACAATGGAGAACGTTCCCACTTTTACAACATTATTGCTGAAATCAAACAGAATTAAGCCTTTCCATGTAAAAAAAAGCCCTTTATTTGTGATGAATAAACAAAACCTCTTGGAAAGGAAACCTGAGGAGACTCTCCAAGCTTTTCCAGAATGATAAAATCTCCCACTCTGACACACATCACCCACACACAGACCTAATACCTGACACAGGGATGCTGAGTAGGTATCACAGATCTCTCAGCTAAGGGCAGAGCGTGACTTGGATTTATCTGCAGTATCATCCCTACAAAACCTCAGCACAAGGCTTCAGAAAAAACAGACTTTCACAGCTTTTTTTTTTTTTTTCAAGGGAAGAAAACAAAGACCCTAGAATAGGACTAGCAGGATCTTTGACTAGAACTGAGGACGTAAAGACATCTGCCACTGCCTTTCAGACAAGAATGAGTCCATCAGCTCCCTGAGACCTCTTATCTTCTCTCACAGATGATAACCATGCCCTGGCACTCAATGAGATATTCTCTGAGCTGGGAAACTACCATGCACCACTAAGAAGCTCCAACCCCCAGCCATTCCTGCTAACCTCAATATCAGTGAGCATGCAGAGTTCCCCAAAGCAGCAAATCTTCAGGGCCTGATTTTCAGAAACAAACACATCTAATCATCTGCTCAGTTTTCTTCAACATTAACCAGAAGTGCTTACACAAATGTAATGGCCAGTCACAGGGGTCTATTTACATGTCTAATGAGGCCGGACTCTCACTGCAGAGTCATAAGTGTGGGATGTGGGAGAAGACAACAAACTAGGGCAGAAAGCCCACGCAGTTCTCCATACCACAACAGACTCCAGCCAGGAGACCAGCTGACGCAGGCAGGGCTCCAGGCAGCTCTGGTTCCGCTTCACTTTCTGCAGAGAAGTGTCTTTCAATATCTGGAATTCATACAAGATGCAGCTTGAATCATGGTTACATCCACACCTTCCCCACATCCTTTTTGGTCTGTAGAGCAGCTAAGATGCCAGGATCCAGAGAGGCCAAAGACAACACCTAACATCCACTGGAGCCACACTGACCCACTGGTGTGCTGTTTGCTTTGAGGAACAACTGTGAGCTTTGATCAGAGCACCAAGGGTTCACCTAGATTCAGCACACTCTGAGCCAGGATTTGGGCTTCTATACTACTGTAGCCCATATGTTTCATAGCAGTTTGTGGCAAATTGGATCAGTTTTTTTTCAGGAAGGAACCCAAACTGATCCATCTACTTGCTGCTGGGGAAGGGATTTCATCAGCAATACAACTGCTTACACCAGATGATCAAACACCTGCTCTGGAATTAGCAGGGCCTGTGTAAAAAGTCCCCTCATTTTTAAAAGTTTGTGGAGGAGAGCAGGAGGCAACATCCCAGCTCAAAAATATTATCTTTCTGCAGCTGGATGCTTAGCTGGTCATTTTGTCTATTATGGTGTTGGAGCCAACTGCGTGAGAAGGATGTTAGGGATCCTCAGGCAATACACATCACACCAGAATAGAGTAGCAGTGAAGAACACATGTTTAAAAAGCAGCAGTGGAGAAAGGCAAATACTGGGCTGCAAGGCCAACAAAAATCTCACCCTAGGAGCTCCACAATGTATCAGTTCAAAGCAACCTGTGGTGTGCCTTCAAGGAAGGTCAGATGTTTTATTGTGTCAGTAATCTAGACATCAAGTGTCCAGCATTTATATATTTATAAAGACAGTGTATACTCCACACACACCTTCAGCAGCTTTGCTTTCATGGAGGCAGTGATCGAGGTTGGGCTGATGAACTGGAAGGACGGTGCAGCATTATTGGGGTACTGGACAGGGAACATCACCAGCATCCTGACTCTGTGGTTGCCACAGTGCACTGACACTGTACAGCTACGACTCACCGCATCCATCTGTGAGGAAAAGCAATTGCTCTGTAGTTAGATCTCCAAAGACTTTCAAACTTATAGTGGCTTAAGTTTATGCTGAGGGGCTGATTCCTCTGCACACCCATAAGATGAAGTCATGCTGTTTCCAAGGGTAGTGAACACAGTGACAGCAAAAAACCCCAGGCAGATGGGGACAGACTCAGCTCACACCAGCAGACTGCCCATCCAGCATCCCAGCATCTGGAGACCACAGCCAGTCAGGAATTAGGCTCTACTCCCGACAGCCACTGCACCCCAGCCCACTTCACTTGGCCATGGAGAGCTCAAGGCCCAGTGCAGCAGTAATGGGCACCATCTAAGATCACATACCACTGTCTCAGAAAACTACATCAGGATCATGTCGTGAGCTCTGAAACCACAGGGGTGGGGAAAGGAGACAGGCAGCTGCCTCAAGCCTCCCATCCCAGCACAGTGCTGTGTCTCCAGCCAGCTTCCATGCACAGAGGAGTATTTGGCGTGCAAGGGAGATGCCAAAAATGAGAGAGTGAGTGCAGCATAGGGAGGGCTCAGCAGATCGGGTTCATAAACAGTTGAAATGAGATCAGCTGCATGTAGTGGAACAAGTCAGTTTCCACTCTGCCATCGAGGCAGAGAAAAGAACACCATCCAGCCTTCTCGGGACCAGCCAGTGTACTTACCGTGCTGAAACACCTCCCTCACTCCCAGTGTCTAGGATTATCCTCTTTCCTACCATCCCTGGCCAAGAGGATCTCTATGGCTCAAAATAAACCTTGTTTACAGAGAGCAGTCACTGCAGCAAAGAAGGTTCCCCTCTAAAGGCTCCGATGAGCCAGCCTGCCCACATCCCCTCCTAACAAGCCAGAAAAAGGAAACTCTTTACCTCCACATTGACATTTCGGATCTGCACATTGATCAGTGAAAACTCCTGCTGCAGTGTTTGAGGCAGTCCCAGTTGGTCCGTTTTCTCTCCCACCAGGGGGTCATTCAGGAAATCTTCTTTTAAGGCTGACAGGAAAGATGGAGAACAGGTTGAGAAAAGCTGTAATAGACAGACTTTTGGCATGCAATGCCAGGAGGCAGCCAAGACGGCAGGCTTTCCTCTGCTCTTCTGACACATGGAGGTTTGAGTTTTACCTGGCAAAGACCTGTGAGCTGGAGGGTCTCAGCTGTTGTTTAGAGGCAGGCTTCTGAGCCTCGCTCTTCAAAAAAATAAACCTGTCTGCACATAGGTTTCCAGGAAGTTTACAGAAGCTGCCTGTACTCTGTATAGCCCTAAATGGTCTGTCTCTGCTCATTTGAGACCCCTTCTCCTCCCTACACAGTACTGCCAGAGTCACAAACAGCTGAACTGGAGCCTCTCAGATCAGCAGGAATGAATTGCTGCCGAAGCAGTCTCCAGGAGGAGCTCTGGTCTTTGGGATTCACACCCCACTGCTCTTGGCTTTCATGGAATGCTTCCAAAGCATAATAAGGCTTCGAGAGAGAGAAGAGGGTATTTCTGGCCCTAGCAGAGGCTTAATTCATTTGTAGCAGCCGTTTGCATTTAACATCGCAAAGCACTCTAGTGTTTTAATGGTCTTTAACTCATCTAAATGTTGAGTCTAGCCGTCCAGTTCCAACAGTTTTCAGGAGTACAATAACCCCTGAAGGCCAGAATACATTTAAACAGCCAGGCAAGAGCTGCAGGACACAAGGGATTATGGTTAAGATAGCAAACTTGACTGAGTTTCAGAAGAACTGGTCCCTGCCTGTGGTCGTGCCTGGCTTTTGCCATGTATCTTGCTATGTACCCCCATTAGGGCAGGGGCAGTTCCTTCGGAAGGGTGTTTCTCTCTGGCACTACTTCTTAAGAAGAACAAATGTATTTTTTGATGATTGTTCTAAGGACACAAGGGAAGTCCCGATTATTCAGCTGTCATTCTTGAGCTTGCAATATCACATTGCAGACTATTCCTAGCAAAAAAATAAATGACAAGAAATGCAAGAAAAGCTATTCTTTTACAGGCATTTGCCTAAAAGTTACTGACTTTGCTGCTGGGACAAATATATCTCGTTTTACTGCTGCCCAGTGGGTTGCTGAATTTGGATAGGTAGGATGCTTAGCTACTCATTCCTGTTTGAGATTTTATTATAGTGCTTAGATATACTTCACAAAAGGGAGCTGAAAAGGGGATTAAAGGAAGATCAGTAGCTCTCAGGGAAGATAATTATTTCTAGCTCAAGACACCACATAGCTTACTGAAAAGCCATCTCTGAGGTTCCCAATATGGGCAGTACCCTCCCTTTGTCTTCTTCTCCCATTCCCTTCCAATTAGTTTCTAACCTCCCAAAGCCCACATATTTGTCTTAGATTCCTAAAGATCCTTTATAGGCAGCAGCCAGTGAGGAGAGCTGTACACTGAAGACACAGCTGGTGGGCTTTCTGATTTACCTGCAGAGCGCTGTTCTCTTCAAAGATCCCCCCAAAGTGCTTTACTAACGTAACACAGACTTTGCAGCTGAAATGCAGCCACCTCCAGGGTGAAACATCGACAGTCCACAACAGCTTTTAGGCTAGAAAGAACTGAAATTCCTACCTAGGGACTTGCTTGTGCATTGATCCTGCAGTCATGGCATTTACAGCAAAATCTACCCTGCTACAGAAAAGCCATTTTCATTCCCTTTGGTGGCAAGGGAAACCCTACCAATCTGAACCACAAAGCCAGACCCACACAGAAACCACATAGGACACATGAATGTGACCTCATCAGGGACAGTGAAAGAGTTAACTCTCTCCTGTGGAAAAAGAGAGGTCAGGCAGCCAGAATGAGAACGCTTAATGCTCCCAGCTGCAGCAGGAGAGGCTGTGCTTCCCCCGCACTACTGCTCATAGGGAACACAGATAGCCAGGGCTTTTTCTATCATATTATAAAACCCTCATGTAGACAGAGGTGCTGACGTCTTTTAGAAACTTGTTCTGCTGCCACATAGGACAGGTGGCAGAGAGGAACTTCACTGGGATTTGCTGGGCAGGAAACTTTCAGTTAGGAGGAGATGCCTTCCCTAAGGGACCTCACAGCTGGCTCCTTTATTCAAAAGGACAGATATTGGACCACTTCCTCCCTTTCTCTCCAGTTTGTTGGCAAGTCAACAGGAGAATCAAATCGCTTTCCTGTAAGCCCCTCACATGGGGATCCATTGTAGCACCCTGCTACAGTACAGAAAGGAACCGTGAATTTAAACCCAAGCTGACACAAAGACATGGGAGCACCCAATTCTTCTTCCTCAGTATTAGATATAGAAATCTAGATAGCTTTTTCACATGCATGTCATCACCATGGATCTCAGCTGCTGCAATCTCTTCTATTCTGGTATTTACACCCTTCAAACATTAACACCCTGAATGTTTAACCTGGCCAGAGCCTTAACCACATAAACCCTCCTTCACATTCCTTCCCTGTACGCCTTCTCTTCCACAAAGCCAAATCAATGCTTTCTGTTAAAGCTTCTGACCCTTTCCCATCCACCCATCTGGTACTCAGAAGTCGGAAATACCATCCCTCCCCCTCTGCTCTGCCAGCCTTCAGCCACCTCTCATCAATACCTGAACAAAAATTCACAAGCTCTCTCCATACCACTTCTGATGGATGGGAGAAGACATCAATAAACATCTCCATGTTAGGTCAGTTCACACAGTGATCCCAGCAGAAATGTTTGGGTACCAGGTGTGATGCAAGCAACTTGTGTTAGAGTGCCTTACCCACACACTCTCCCCTTCTGTGGGCTCATCTCTCAGCATAAACTAATCTACCTTCTTAAGAGCCAGAACTTATGTTCCAATTGCCTTATTTTTGGCAGCAAGCCACAACTATGACCTAAAGAGAATGCAATTAAATAGTATTAGTGACAAGGAAGAGCTTCATTTTACAGCTAGCATCATTATGTTAGAGGAGAAAAAACTTGGGAGGACCATCCTGAGGAACCCCTAGTGTTCTTCCTCCTCTCAGATGTGGAATCCATTAACCTTTGAAACAGCACCAGTTTGTGCTTTGCCTACAATGTTACTTTCTTATGCCAAAATGCATCTTCTTCCCAACGCAAAGACAGCTGGTGTTTGAAATTCCATAACCCATCACTTGTCTCACCTTCCTCATCCCCATGTCCAGAGTTATGCTGGGGCTCCGAGTCCTGGGGGTGAAGGGTCTTGTCTGGCTCTGGCAGATGAGAAATCCCATCGATGAGGTCCTCAACTCCATCCAGGATATCGTTAGCGCACAGCTGAAAAGAACAAACATACCCACATGCTGCACAACAGAAACCAAGCTGCGGAAAGAGCCACCACTAACAACTCATTTGCCCAGGGAGCTGGATTTACAAGGTAGGTCTGTCCACGCAACAGGCATGACTAAGACCTCCACATTGTTTCTGTGACAAAGACAGGTGATCTTCCACTTTCCAGCACACTCAGCTCTGTCACCTCAGACAGCCTGGCCAAATCTCCTGCTCACTTACAAAGCCACTTAATTGACAAGGCCAGTCTAAGTAACAGAGGTTTTACTTAAATCAAAACTAAAGCTGACATGACTTTAATTTCTTGAATTAATTTGTCAAAACTGGTTTAATTTTTTAGATCAGATATAATAGTAGCACACTTTCTGCTTTTGATATTTACACTCCAGTAGGATCTAGAGACCCAGGTACATACTAGGGGACTTAGTGTTCTAGGCCCTGCACCAAAAAGAGACCATGAAAACTTGTATTTTAAGTTCAGCACAAGAAAACAGGGAAGATGGAAGAGAATAAATATAGGAAGGAGAAAGGATAAAGATGCAATGTAGCAAATTACAGCATTGGTCACCAGCAACATGCCATCATGTGTGTAGTTTGATCCAGACAAAGACAAGGACAAAAGAGTGGGAGCCAGCAGAGGAAGAGTAAAGGCTTTGACATGGATGAACAACTGATTTAAAGACAAGAAAGAAATAAAATATTTGCAGATATATTAGGTAGCAGTAAAGGGTCATTTTTCATAGAGGAAGTTTGTTACAGACCTGCAGGATTCCTGCAGGATCTGTGCTGGGACACATGCTTCTCAACATATTCATTAAAAACCTGGAATAGGAGGCGAATAGCGACATGACCAGGTTTGCTGATGCCACCAAGTTTTTCAGGGTAGTAACGAGAGTGGCTGACTGCAAGCAATCACAGAAGGACCTTACAGGAGTAGCTGTATTAAAATGAAAGATGAACTTCAGTTCAAATAAATATAAAGCAATGCACATAGGGGAAAAAATGGCAAGTTCAAGCTGACTGAGGGAACAAGACATAGAGGCCAGGCTAAGCTGATGTCTTCATGGAATTATGCCTGACAATTTAAAAAAAAAACCTGAGTACTGAGAATTCTTTGGAAAGAACAAAGTGCAGATCCCCATCCCAAGAAGTATACAGTAGAACTGAAAAAGGGATGTGAAAGGCAAAAGGACAATCAAAGTTCTCGTACAAAGGAGGAAGTAAATCAAGACCTTTTGACTTGAAAAAAGGAGGCAGCTGAGGAGGGATGTGATGGGAGGTCTACAGAATATTCAGCACAGACAAGATGGCTGCTCATTTCATCTTCAATGTAAAGAAACTAGCAGGTTGCAAAATAAACAAATGAAAGGAGCTGTTTTTCCACACAACATGCAGAAAAGCCATGAAACTCCTTGTTGATAGGATGTTTAAGATGACAAAAATTTAGACAGGTCTAAGAAAAGACAAAACAAGTCTAGGGAAGTGAAACTCATCAAGCTCCGTCAAATACAAGGATGCCAGACTCAATGAGCCTCTAAGCTGCAAACTGCAGGAGGCTGGCAGGGCATTTGAGAGAAACATCACTCCATTCTTGCCTCATTCTTATCCCCTTCCAAGACATACACAGCCGAAGATGAGACAGAGCAATGTGGGCCATCGTGGCCATAGGAACCTCCGGTCTGACCCAGCATAGCTGTTCTAGTAATTGCATCAGCAATTTGTAACTGCTGCCAGACAGCAAAACAAGATTTACACTGCCTGCACCAGGCTAAGAGGCAATGGAAACAAGGGGAGGAAGTGGAGGGCACAATCCCTACATTTACCTGATACCTAAAAGGCCAAGAGTCATACAGTCTTGCAGCCATGGAGGTGGCATCCTCAGAGGCAATGCAAGCTGTAACTGATCTCCACCTTCCCCAAATGACTTCTACACTTCCTGTTATACAACAAAGTGGCCTTGCACTTCCACAGAAGCTTTTGAGGCACAGACACAGAGAAGCCTCATCACAGGTCTCCCTGGGGATGTTTCTGGGCTGGGGCTGAAGAGGAAAGTGAAGCAGAAGCTGGCTGCAGCTGTGTCGGCAGCTCTAGGATACCAGAGGAGCGACTGGGAGCACAAGGAAAGGGAGGTGAATCCAGCCTATAAGAAAACTGTCTACAGTTCAAGAGCAAAAGTACTTACATACCCTCTGCAGCTGAGAGTCAATCCGCCACATCCGCAGAGTCTGATCACGGGACCACGTAACCAGCTGGTAGTCTTTAGAACCTAAAAAGGAGAGAAACAACTTACAGACCCCACTGAAGACAGAGACTCTCTCAGCCCTGTGTTTAGTGTAAACAGATTCAGCAAGCCAGGAGGGAGATCCAATGGATAAGGCACTAAACTGAAAGGCAGAGTGAGTCCTCTTCTGCTTTGAATTGACCTAGGTGCATCAGCCTTTATGCCTCCCTGCACCACTGTTACCACACCTCTAAATGGGGTACAATTTAGAGGTGAAAAGCACAAAGTAAGTATAATGAATGTGATGCAAGTTTTCCAACAAGGAATTAACAAGATCTACTACAATACTTATTTAAATAGAACAAATAATATAGTTGAGAAACAGATTTATTTTTACGATAACTGTAAAGTTAAAATATCTTTTAGTTCATCATATCTGTTTCAAGATGCAGATGTTTTAAAACATTTCTAAGCTAAGAGAAGCTGGTTCTACCCTCCCCCTTTTTCCTTCTGAAAGGCTTGGATGATGCCAAGACAAGATCAGGTTGTAATGAAATATATCTAGCCACATACTATCTATCAACAGATAAAGGTACACAGACTTATTTATGCCCATGTTTAGGCCTTGTGATACAGTTTAAGTTTCCCTTGTCAAACAGCTGCTATACACTTAAAAATTTGCTGCTGCACAGCTGCTTCTTACAACTCTCTGCTGAGGCACAGGGGCTGTCTAAATACAGCACAGCAGACTCTATGGAAGGAGATTTGTGCTATTGTGGTTGTCTCTGCATTGAAGCAGACTTGGAATGCTTGTATGATTGATTTATGTTGCTTGAGACAAGCACAACTTCTGTCCTTGGATATATATCTATTAACTCAGCTAAGACAACACAACTGTGGTTCAAGCCTGGTTGAATGTTCATTCACAAGCTGTCTTAGACTGTGCCTCCAGATCCTAACACAGTTCTATATTGCTCTCCTCTTTCTGAAAGAGGAAAAACAAGGTATAGAGAAGGCAGCGACTTAACTAAATTGCCCCAGCAGCTGGCGGCAGAGGGTTGGACCATAACTTTTACACGGCACTACAAAGCCATACCACAAGTGACACCAAAGCCAGACATGCATTTTCTGTCAATGGCAGCTGAGGTGCTGGAAACAAAGCTGTGGTCTGTGTGGTTATCCAACCTCTAATATGGAATCTCCTATATTTAGCTGCCTACGCTGGAAAATTCAGTCAGGACTGAACTCTAATAGCAGCCTCTCTATCCCACACTCTTCCTCCCCTGCCTTTGCGGGCACACAGATAAGGTGGGTTCGCAAGGTCTGTGGTCTGTGATATGCTGGCAGCTGCTGATCCAGGCAATGATGTGAGGGGTTAACTGGTTAGCCTGCAGCTCTGAGCAGGGGGAGGGTGTCTGCACTCATGCACCCATCTAATAGTTTGTACAATTTATTTTGAAAGATCCATTTAAAAATAGACTCACAGGACAGTGGAAGCAATTAAGAGTCACCATTGACCCACTCAGCATTAGGTGGATTTGCTTTGTTAGCATGGAAACAACAGGGCAATGCTTCTGTGGGCAGTGCCATAAACCAACTATAAACCAGCTGTAGCTTGAGGGGAGGCAGGAAAGTGGGTAGGAGCTACTCCAAGGAAAGGCAAGAGTCAAATGGTGATAGCATAAGCAGTGCAGCCGGGAGCCAGGCCTCCACACCCCTGGTTAGCTGATGGCCACAGCGCAGGGGAGAGAGCACATCCAGCCCTGAACTCACCTTCTTTCTGCTTCCTCCACTGAAACTCCAGCACCACGTCATCATGTCCCACAAAAGTGTGGACAGGCGTGTTCAAGTCAAAGACATTCCAGAGAAGGAGACTGTTCTCCCGACGGAGCTGAGGGACCATCACTGTCACCAGCCCATTGCTGAAAGGCTTGAGAGAGAAACACCCTTCCAGTTAGCCTTGGGGAGTTATGCTCCCATGCCACTGTTATCATGCTCTAATTTTTTCCTTTTCCTACCAAGAACGTGTGGGTTTTAAAGGAGCTCATCACAAAACAGAACCAGGCCTAAAACTGGGGGGGGGGAGAGGGGGGCGGAGCAAGGCAATTGCTGTGCAAAACCTGTATCTTACAAGGGAAAAGATGTAGTACACTTCGAGATATTCAAGGCAGCTCACTTAACTATTTCTTTCTGCTGCTTCCTCACTTTTCAGCTGTGAGGCTGGAAGGATTCCACCCTTGATTTCTCCCATGGGATCTTTACTGCAATTGCCTAGAGCTGCAAGAACTGCTACCTGGGGATTGAGCCCCAGCAGCTGCTCAGGGTCATGACGCTCAGAGGAACACTGGAACCCAGTCCTACATCCTCCACCATGGGGACAAGAAAAGAGGATCAAAGATTCAAGGCCCAGCACTGGCTTCAAGCCACATTCAGATGTCTGGGGAAGAGAACGGATATGGCTGACGTTAAGAGCCTTAGCTTCACATGGCTGGGTGCTTGCTCTATAAAAGGCAACAGTTCTTAGATTTGATATGCTGTAAGAGCCCACTGTGGCACACTTGGAAACACTGGGAGTAAAAGAGGCACTCAGAGAGGGAAGATGACCACTGCACTGCTCTGTGCAACAGGTACCCATACTGGATCCGAGTGGAAAAAAAGAACAGCAAGAGCAGCAGCCACTTTCTAAGCCTCCTGCTCCCAGAGCCAACCACCTGCACCCGGGTTTTCACCCCCCAGGAGGATGATGCCCAAGACTGGGATCTCACACTGCTAGTCGTTCCTTCTCCTGAGTGCCCCCCATTACGGATGTTGCTTTTCTAGGCCTTTTAAGCACTAAGAGGGATTTTTAAAATCAACTTAATTATGTCCAGCAGTAGAACTGGTGAGAAGCCCTTCAGCAGCTTTTCTTTATTTAATGTCCCTTTCTGCATTTGCTCTCACAGCACAAGCGGGGCTGGTGGGAGTTTCTCACTCACCGTGTATCTTGCCTTCCAGACGGGAACCTGGCAGGGAAGGATATTGAGGTATTTCCGAGGCTGACGGTAATCCCAGAACTTCAAAAAACCAAAAAGACAAGCAAAGGCAGGAGTCAGCTGGCTATACTTTCAGGCCGCAGTTTTCCATGTGGCTTGCAGATATAACAGAGCAAAAAACATGCCAGGGTGCCCACAGCATCATTAGTAATCCCATTCATTAGCAGCAGAGATGGCCCCAAAGGACAAATATCAAGCTACCAGCATCTGGCAGCATCCCTTAGACAACGAGTGACTTGGGGTCATATTCACAGTGAATATAGTTTGAGTAATTAGAGCAGGGAGACAGGCAGCCTGCTTGGGCTTTCAGAGCTACAAGGTACCCTGCAGGCTCCCAGCCAATGTGCCAGTTCATACTGGAGGCAGGCCCACCCTGCTGTTACTGCTAATTTTGTAATGAAGAATCTAACCTTTTGCTTTGCTAGAATACACATCAATTGCATTTGCCTCAGAGCTTAGCTAAATGTGAATGAACTCCATTTGGCTGACATACAAAGCACACTATTTCCCCACAAGTAAAAGGCCCGGCATAGCAATGCTTGCAGGCAGTCTCTTATTGATAACCTGATTTGACATGAGTTTGGGAACCCCAGGGGCTGGAGTATGCCTCTCCCCAGGTTGCTGTAATCAGCCTGAGACTGGCAACACTGCATCTTGGGGAGACGGCTCTTCTGACATATGTGGCCAGCTCCCTTCTGGCAAGCAACAGGCAGAGGTTGTTGTTTTCAGCTTCAGTACTGCCCAAACCACCACAGATAGGTGGCAAACATATGTGCACCTATCCTGCAATTACTTCTCTGCCTGTTCTGTAAGCATATCCCTAGCTCAACAAACACAGCCTGCCAGAAACCAAAAAATAAGGATACAGATCTTGCCAATGGCAAGCACTCCCAAAGACTTCAGCAGTATTAGAAGGGGATCTGCTTCACCATCCTGACATCTCCCAAGCAGGAGTCCCAGAAGCAACACTTACCCTGACAGAGTTGTCCTGGCTGGAAGTGGCCAGCGTATACTCATTGTCAGGATGCCAATCCAGACCGTGGATTTTAGAGAGATGAGCTGCCAAATACTCTACTGCAGTGCTGGGTTTCTGCAAGGAAAGACATTTTCCTTTTCAGCACAGGACTCCCGAAATTTGGTCTAGTTCTTTGCCATAAAAAAGACACTTTAATAAGGGCAAGAGAGGTAGAACACCCTCCTGCTGGGGAAAGGCAAATAGCTCAGCAAAAGTGGTTGAAGAAAAGGTCCTGTGAAAGTGTGGCAAATTCCAGTCACCAAGTTCAGCCCTGAACCATACTTTATACTCAGTAGAACAGTTAAGTACTATGAAATCAAAAGCAAAGTGTTAATGGGCTCAGCTCTCTTTAGGTTCGTGGGTTCCCAAATCTCTCTAGCTTAAATCAACCCACAAGAGAGATTTGGGATGAAGCAGTACATTTTTCTCAGTATTCTTCTGTGACCAGAGGGATGTCTGTATCAGGTAGGTGGGAATATGCACAGACTGCTCAAAAACCCCTCAGCTTACCCTTTTGTCCCATATTCGGACATCCCCATCGTGGCTTGTTGCTAAACAGTTGGTATTTTTCTTGTTCCATTTGACCTGGGAAGCTCCAGCTGTAGCACAAACAGAGCAGGTCAAAACAAGCAACTAAAAAGTAAATGGCACAGTAGACCCTTGACCTGGGCTTGGAGCTGCTCTTCTTAGCACAGGAAAGGCAGTTCAGGGGAAAGATATCCAAAAGCCAGCATGAAGGATGGCACGAAAATGACTAACTCCTGATTCCTCAGCTAGCATTTGTGTCCCGAAGACCTCAAAGCAAGAGCGTTCCAGTTACATGCTCAGAGATCTTCATTGCAATTTCTAGCCATTGGCTGTACCCAATTAAAATACTCATGTCCATTAACTCAGACGGAGCAGCTTCCTCCAGACAAGAACTGCAGGTTCATCACCTCCCTCCCAAATCCCTTCTGTTTTCGTTCAAGTTACTTCCAGGTGCTTAAGGATTGATTCATTTGTCTCCCCAACACCCTCTATACTATCTGATGCTATACAGGGAACCAGTGTTATTGATCTATTATTAAAATACAGGTGTAGGAGAAGGCTGCAGTGCAGGTGGTCCTTGTGTCTGGCCAGCTGGAGGTAGACTCACTGGGTGGACCAGAAGGCCCAACTGTCCAAATGTAACACAGAAGTCAAAGACATCAACGGCATTGTAAAGAAACTGGAAGATGGTCCAGATATGATTATATGGTATCATAAGGGACTCAGTCAAGTGCCTAAAATCAAAAGTTGGTTGGCTATTTCTAATAAGCAGTAAAATATAGCTTCAGTTGATGTGGATTGTTCAGATATTGTAAGAGAAATACATGTTCTGTTCATCCTTACTCTGTTAGTATTTTCAAAACATTTTAAGCTCATCAGAAAGCTGAGGTCCATGAGAAAGCTAAACAGATCTCAGCCTGCTGCTATTCCCCACCTTCACTACCCACCTGCTGCTGCACAGTGAGCAGATTCATCCTGACAACCTGGCAAAATACTAGTCCAGGGGAAAAAAAGCTGCAAATAGGCTGCCAGTTAATTGAGTTGATTCATTCACTGAAGGATACACAAACGCTTGGATCAGCACTAAACAGAATTGGGCATGGGAGGGAGGAAGCTTTCTGGGGAGCTAGCTGCTGGGCTGGCTCAGCTGACCCGTGAAAGCTCATCCCAGGCATCAGAACCAAATGCTGCTTCTCTCTGATTCACTAAGGTTTTTGTGTCGCTGTGATAGAGAGGTTTTCTGGCTGGGAGGGAAGGGGGAGCCACTGCAGATGTGTAACCTAAGGAGATCCAAGCAGTAGAGCATAAGAGATATGTGTTATGAGGATTGCTGTAATACTGGGGGCAGTAACTCAGGAAAATGACATTTTGCTCGTCATCCGTACTTTGCCCAGTTCCAACACACAGCCACTGAGGACTGACACACAGCACCTGCCAGCAGGCGGTATTACAAGCGGCTGGACAGTCACACTGCCAACAGCCATAACAAGTGCCTTTCCAGAACAAGCGCAGCCCAAAGAGAGCACCTTCATGTCACCACTGCAGCTGTCTGCATGTTGAAGGTGCCCCAGGGAAGCAGATACAGCCGCTTAATGTACACAGCCCCTCAGTAAGTAAGGGGGCAGGCTGGCAGTTGGCAGCATTCAACATCGCTGCCTGGGGTGCAATTTAGTTTCTCAGCTGATTCAATCAAACATAAAAGGACATGGAGAAATTACAGACAGGCAACACAGGACAAGCAGTGCAGCAGGGTGGTTAAGCAGGGAAGAAGCTATGTCTAAAAGGCACAGATGCCATGTGACTGTCCACCAATTTCAGAACAGCCAGTCCAAGTACCACCACTGTCCTCCATTCCTGGGAACCTCCAAGGGCTCCACATTCTCTCTGAATTCTGCTCTTCTAAAAGGAGTTGTGAACTGGAGCCTCTCAGGCTGCTCCTACACAGAACAATCACAAGTGGTGGCACTTTTGTACTTCACCACGTTCAGCCTCGGAGTGTGAAGGGAGGGAGGAATAACAGCAGGGGCATACAACAATAGGCTTGTTTAATGCCTACATCACACATACACGTCATACTTACCGACTGCAGAGAGTGAGACTGTAGGCTTCCTGGTGTCTCTGAAACACAACATGGCTAGTATGAGTACCCACAGCATAGCCCAGCAGGTCCAGCCTACCCAGTGAGCTCCTTGCTATTCCAGGACTAATTTTATTGCTGCTTCTTGGGAGCTAATGTGCCTTCAGCTTACCAAAATGCACGACACTAAATGGAACAAAGAAAGAGGTGACCAGCTGGAGGACAACAGCCATCCTGTCTTGCCACCACATACAGCATCAAGTTTAGGACATAGGATGGAGTTGGAGGGGACTAGAGGGAGGAGAAACACATGCAAAGTGTGGCATGTTGCAACTGGGCAGGCAAGGAAACTGGGCTCACAAAGTGTTGCTGCAGAAAGCAACAAAACAGCCTTTCCCAGGAGGATTAAAAGGAACAAACAGAGCTGTGAAAAGACAAAAGCCACTGATGTGTTTGTCAAGCTTTTGCACACCCTGATTCAAGGCAGATGGAGCAGTGACTTCAGAGCAAAGACTTCATGTCTAGCATATAACAACAAAATTAGTAAGAAATAAGCCCAGCTGTGTGCAGACTCTACAGACGAAATTCTGCGGTGGTGGAAGCCAGTCCAGCACCATGACAACTCCTAGCAGCCAGGGCATGGATCAAGGCAATAATTCACTCCTTGACCTTGCTCCTCAGGAATTCACCTGCCTTTTCATAAAAAATGCCAGTGAAAATAAGGAATATTGTCTTCAGCTTTTTGTGTTTGCCGAAAAGCAGAACATTTTCTGGAATGGACTGCACCTCTCCCTCTAAGAATTTCTGCCTAATCAAAAAGTTATTTGGTATGAAAAATCAAGTGGGCAATTTCCAGCTGCCCTTACCACAGGGCTACCTCCCTAGGGTGTCATTAGAGACAGCCGCTTCAGCAGGATGTTCATTTGCTAGAGGCCAGCAGCCCCAGGACCTCACTGCCCCAGCAAGCTCAGAGACCTTACCAGCACAAGTGGGATGTAGAGGCTAGTCAAAGACTGCCTAAGCAAGCATTTCTGGAGAAGCAATACACACAGACATAAAATGATGGAAGGGCACAACAGAGTTAAAGAAGGGCTTCTGATAACAACCTTCAGAGAACTCTATTTTTTGCTTGGCACTAAGATAGTATCACAGGAAAACACAACCAGCAGTTATTGTCTCTTTATGTCTTTTAATTACACATTAATAATATATTGCCATTCTCAAGCACCATTTAACCAAGGATCTAAGTGCTTCATAGGAGCTAAACAAGCCTCAGGGTAGCCTGGTGCAGTGGGGTTATATAATTATCCTCCTATTATTACTGAGCAAGGGAGGCAGAGAGGAACAAAGTGACTTGCCGGGGGTCATAAAGAGTTGCTGTACAGCCAGCAAGAGAACCCAGCAGTCCCAGTGCCAGCTCCTTGCTTCTCAGCTGTAAAATACGGGGTTTTAATATTGGTGGTTTTGGAAAGATCTGTTATCCTGAAATTACTCATGATAGAAAGCACCAGGAATCAAGGGAAGGCACAAACAGGAAAAGGTTCCTGAATACCACTGCCAGTCTTCCCACCAAGGGAGAGCCAGCAACAGTCACTGAATTTAGTGGAAAATGGCTGCAGGATCATGAAATGGTGCTCATTCACTCAGCTAAAAAACCCAAGAGGTTGAGGATCACCCTTGGATTCCAGGAAAAGCTCCCGAGGAAAGATGTGAACAAGTAGCGAGTGAAGCCAGTCGGTACTTTTTCCAATCAGGACCATGACTGTGGCTTAACTGTATCACTCTACTGTCCGTCATTGATTCTGAACTGCCTTGAAAATAGGGGAACAGAAGCCATCTTTGAGATTAAGGGAAGCAGATAAAGCCCCTGCAAACACAGCTGAAGAGCAGCACCCATCAGTGCACACTTTGCCCTGCAAGCTGCTAATTATGGAAAAGAGTCCAATGGTTTCCCTGCAGTGCAGAAACATACTGATTCTTACTTGATGTCCCAGATGTAGATGTATGTGTCAACAGAACTGGTGACCAGCAGGTCTGGCTCAAACACCGCCCAGTCCAAGTCGCTGCAAACGCAAAATCATAGTAGGTCAGCAAAGAAAAGTGCACACAGTTTGTATCAACTTCTCACAAGCCCCCAGTACATTTCCCCAACAAATTCATGGCCACTCCATGAAATCTACTGAAACTTTTAAAGTAAAAAGCAAGATCTTAATCATTTCTCTAGCTAATTCCAAGAAGTAATTAAATGTTTCTAAGTAAATTCCAGTGAAACATCCTCCCAGCCCTGAACTTTACAGCTATCATGTGTGTGCTCTTTCCTCCCAGTTAACACACATTCTTGACATCAACCCCTCACTCTGGGATGCCTTCCTGTTGGGCTCACCAGGAGCACCTGGGACACAAATAGCTTCCAGCCAGCCCAAACAACTGCCATTTCAAGGGCTGTGATTACTTTCCACAGTCAGAAGCTGGAGTAAAAACAGCACTTCACCTCATTTCCAGCCCAGCAATAAAGTACACCCCTAGAACCAGAGGTAGAAATCTCCCCTGCATCACTGTAACTTGCTGTGAACTTCATCTTTGGGATTACCTGCTTTAATTAAGCTGCTATCACACAGAAACACAGTAATAAACATGCTGCTGTTTCCCAAATGATGGTTGCTGTTCATGACATGACAGCAGCCTACGGCAATGACACTTGAGCCATCAAAGGCTAACTTGATATACTGGGGGGAGCCATGAGAAGGTGAGCAGCTTCACATCTCCTGTGTCACCTCCAAATGGGAAGGCAGGACAGAGGCATGCAGTACAGCCCAGAAAAGTAAGTAAAAACAGCCTCAGAGCAGAGCCTGAGTGGGGCCAGGACTGAAACATTCATCTTCTATGAAACAATCCATTGTTTTGCACCCAGCAGTCTGCAGCACTGCTTGCTCCTCACCTGATCACACGTGTGTGTCCTTGCAGAGATGTGCAAACTTCACCGTTACCTTCCTTCCACTTATACAGGTCAACTCGCTGATTGCTCTGAAATTAGGTGGAAGAAAGGAGACAGTGTCAGGCAAACAAGGTAGGACAGGAACCCATGTGTCAGGACGAGGTTCCCTTCACTTTGAACAACCTCAGTTACCAGTGAGTCACACTGTGATTAGCAAAGTCCTTGCCCAAAGTAGGAGAGTAAAGATGAACCTACAGGCTGCAAGGACTCTTAAAGCTTACACTTTAATTACACCCACTTAAAATTGGAGACAAACAAGAACGGGAGAAAAAAAAGGCATATTGCAAAATGTTTCCACAAAATGATGTTCTCAGAGCTTTTATTTCCTAACAACATGCTGTAACTGTAGGCATCAGGCAGCCAAATTCTCTCTGCAGGAATACCCTGCAAGTCTGTTCAGATTCACAACTGGAGTTTTCAGTGAGGGGGATGATGGATCACCACTGGTTCTCCTCAACTCTACCTCGATTCCCTTCTGGGATAATCAGGGCCATTGGCAAACATGAACAATACATTTTAATGGCTTCAAGGTCACCTCCTCAAGGGTACTTCCCTCCCTGCCAGCCCAGGAGAAAGCCTTAAGTGCTTATCACTAACTGTAAACCACAGAAGCAAACCAGATGAATCAACGACAACGTTATTTAGGGCTCCTTCACTCATTCCAGGAATAAATCCTCCCCCAAATGCAGCCACACACAAAGTTACTTGAAGCTAGTTATTGTGCTTTAAGTTCATGTTCTGCCTCAATCAAGGTTCACTTCAGCCCAGGACGACTCTAATCTTTCTGGGGCAGGAATGGCCTTTTTGGGTGCATGTACAGCACTAAGCACAGTGGGTCTTGGGCCCTGACTGGAAATTCATGTTGATTTTGCAAAAACAGAAATAACACGACTTCAAAATCTGATCTTCATTAGCCCCTTGTTTTCAGACTTAGAGGTAGATGAGGGAAAAGATAATAGAGAAGAGACTTATTTCTCGTGGCAGTTTTTTGTGGCGGTGTTTTCTTTTCCTACCCCAAAGCTGCTTCATATGAATTTGAACTTGCAGATAGATAAAACACTACAGCCTTCCCTGAAATGGAAGGTCTCCTCCCAGCTCAGCAATAATATATGGCATTTCTCTAACAGCTCACAGCAGGGCTGCACAAGAGCTTGGAGCAAGGAAAACTCCTTGCATGTTTCTCATTGACAGAAGGATTTAAGGGGGTAGACTGAAATTACCCAATGTGATTTCTCCAGGACTCCAGAGTTGATGCTACAAGATAAGGATCACCAGAAGTTTCTCAGACTCTTAGTGGGGCAACTCACATGGAAATTGTTGCCCCTAGCACCAGGTGTGGGGGAATGACAGCTCCTCCTATCAGGAGCATTTTCTAAAAAATGTGCTTCTCGTGATAAGTATCAGTATACACTTCCAACAATTTCATCATCCTCTTGTTCAAGCATTTGTGACCACACAAAAGAAGTAACAGGGATCTAGGATTGAAAACAATGGCATTTCTGAAACAACAGCTTAGGAGTCCTCAGAAATGTGCTTGAGCCAGAGGGCAGACACAGCCAAGCACAGCAAGAGGACATTTCAGCTCTTCTGGAAAGAAGCTAAAAAAATAAGAAGCCCTTATCCAAACACAAGGAACAGACTTCCCCTCTGCCTGTACCACTTCCAATTAACAGCACTGCAAACTGGGTGAAGCTGTTGGCAAACAGGATGGTAGCCTTTCACACTCCATTTCCATGCACAGGGATGCAGAGGGATAGGACCCTCAGGGCTGCCTACAACACTTGCATGCTATACGTGAAAATACGATGACCTCAACAACAGGCTGATGGGAGGACTGACAGCCAGCTTGAGTCCAGAAGCAGCAAATCACATCTTCACAGTGCTGAATCCAAGCTGATTTAGCCTTCCCAATGCATCTTTGCCCCCTTAGTTATGGCTCTCAAACACATCCACACTGCCTCCAGACCTGACGTGGGACACAGAGGCCTGAGCACATGGTATAACTTTCCACCCCTAAACAAGACAGGCTAAATTCTAGTCCTAGGACGGGGCTGTAACGCATCAGCACCTAAATGTCAGCCAGCTGTGAGATGACTGGAAAGGAGGTGTTTCTGTCCCAAACTGGAAAAGCTACCTGACCTCATCTTGGGGATTCCTCGCCTGATGCGTGTCAGCAGCTACGTCTAAATCACCAGACCATCTTAGCATCCTCATTTATAAACAGGAGCAGCAAGGTTTGATGCCAGCTACACCTAGTTTCAGCCTGGAAAAAGATGGGTTCCTGTGTCCGCTCAGGGCAGCAAGAGATGGGAGTGCTCAGATCGGTGAGATGGGCAGGGTCCTGCTCAGATCAGCATTAACCGATCACTGGATATTGCCTTCAGACTGTGTTTGAAAAGAAACTTTCTTGCTCTACTCATGGCCTGCACAGCACATTTCCTTATTTGGTTTTGATTTTCACAGACTGTATCCAGAAGTGGCACTGAAAGACACCTTTTTGCAAGTTTTACTAACTCTCCACTCAGAAGCAGACAGCTGCTGAAGGCACCTTTAAGATGTCAGTCATGTGCCAGAACTGGGAGGAGACAGGCTGGGGAATGTCAGAGAGCAAACAAGCAAAAGCTCCTAACGGACAACACTGGTCCACTTCTAAGACAGCCTTTAATTTCAATCGTAGCCAGTCCAGGAAGCAAAAGGAACAAAAACCCCAGGAAACCACCTAAGTGTTTTCCCCAAAAAATAAATGAAGCCTCTCCACCCCCAGCTATTCCAGGACTCTCAGGCTATAAAAGTAGATGCAACATGGCAGCAAAGACACCTCGCCATGAGAACAGTCTGTGCCCCACTAGTGCCAGTTGCTGCAGCACTGTGGTTGATGGCTTAGACTGCTGCTAGCAGAAGCTCAGGGCTCTGGGTGAACAAGCTACAGACCATGATAGACCAAGTAAAGATCAGAGCTAAAAACTGCGCTCAAGTCTCATATGGCCACTACTGCTTCTTCAGATCAGCCCATTTACTTCTCCACACACTTCTCCTTGCTGACTCGGTCCCCGCCTATCTGCAAACCTAGATTGTTACAGCGGTGAGCCAGTATTGACTTGTGCTATTTACAGACTGCCTGGTGCACCACATCCCACCAGGAAGGCAGGGAGGTGAAAATAAAACAGCACAAAGCAAGAAATTCAATAAGTGCACAAATCTCATAACAGAATGGAAGTCAGAAAGAGAGCACATCCCCCCCTTCCTTCCAGAAAAGGACCATTTGGATCCCTGATTTATTTGCCAAGTTGTTTTATAAAAAGACGAGCAAGCAAAACTAGATTAAACACTGACCAGCCAATAACTGAGAGACTTCAAGCCAAATAGCTCACTGGCAGTAAATCAGAGTTAGGCCTTGATCTTGCAATGTGACTTGCAGAAGTCTGTGCTGCCTGTGCCAGCTCCATACAGCCTTCCAAGTCTGCAGAAGTCCACCCATGAAAGACCAGGGAAGATGACAAGTTACAGCTTTTATACGAGTGAACTCACCGAAGCTGCAAAGTAGTAGGCATAGCTGTCATGCGGGTTCCACTGCACTGCCCCAATGTCCCACTTGCTCTGTCGGGAGATCTTTCGATGACCCTCATTTGGTGCATCCAGGTTGACTATGTAGAGGAAACGGCGGCTGCAAGACACACAGACACAAAGGGGCTGTATCGCACAGGACTGATCTCAAACCCCCAAGCTCACATGGAGCTCACAGCCTTGTGCCTAGAGGACCAAGAAAGAGAAGCATTTGACAAGACAGATGAAAATACTATTCCTGACAAGGCTACATTTAACCATGTACTTCAAAAAGGACTACATTAAAAAAAAAGGACACACTGAAATTAGACAGGATCTGCAAATGTAATGGGTAGCTCAGGCCGCAGAAAATGCCGGATAACCAGGATGCAAAAGGAAGTGTTGGGAAATGGTGCAAACACATCCAAATACACATTGCTGGCCTAATGCTGCAGCAGTAGAGCCGAGGTGGCACAGGGCTGGGAGTGCAACACAATAGCTTCACAGGAGCCAGCTTCAGGCCAGAGAGGTTACTCTGAGCAAGAGTTAATGAGCCTTGACAAACATAAGATGATTCTACGTGGCTGCCTGTTTCCACACCACACTGTTTGGGGGGGCTTGGTTCCACAGACAGTACAAGTACACCCGCACAGAGCTAGCTCAGCTGCAGCAGCTTATTAACCTGGGTGGACACAGCACTGCACTGATCTGGTTATATTACTTACCTGAGCTAACCCTATAAGCAGCAGAGATATATTTGCACGATGCTAAACCTGAGCTCATACACCCTGCTGGATGTGGCCAACTCCCCACAAAGCTAGGGAAGGTATCACTCCCTCCACAGTGTGATTCATCTTACAAGCAAGATAAACCGCCCAGAAATAATTGTGAGCCAGCTGAACTCTAATGGAAGACCAGCACCAAAACATATTAAACCCTATATAATTAACAACACCAGCATCGCATATGTCAGCTGTATAGCAAGCACACAGCTGTTCTGAGCACTGTGAATTTTCCCAAGAGAAAGAACACCTTCGCTGCTTTTCCAGACCAAAGTCCTCAGGGCTCCCTACTCTGAAGAGCGAAGATGCTGAGCCCTCTAAGACTCTCACACAGCTTTAAAAGAAAGGAGGCAAATCCTGAAGGGCTGCTGAGCGTGCAGGAGAAGCTTGAAAAGCAGAGGGCCAATGTTGAATTGCAGACAGGCTGTCCCCAGCTTGCTGTTGGCCCAAATAAGCAAACTGTGAAACAGGGCAAGTGTAAGGAGGAAGAGGCATCAAGTTAGACCCAAACCAGCTGCTGAGCTAGTTATTCCTGCACAGGGCTGCCAGACTAAGGGTTTACATGCAAGCAAGCGGGCCTCTGAGTTGTATCAAAGGACCTGTTTCCTCTAAGGCTGACCAAAGGTCAGCCATACCCATGCGATCCTGAATTTGAAGTGAACATCTTAATTGGTGCAGTAATTGTGTCACTGACAGGGGCACAGGAATAGCGGTTAGTACTAAAAGGCGGCAGCTGGGCAGGCAACTGCTGAGCTGTTTGAAGACTTGCCCTCGAGGTGGCTACGTAATACCAAGCCCTCCTGGGAGCTCTGGCAGCTTGGAGTCTATGGCACCTACTGCTTCATTGAGTATCATCCTGCACTGAACCAGCAGAGAAGCAGGTCAGAGAGCTTGGCTCCTCTTCTCAAGTACACCATGGGAATATTTGGGGCAAATTTTGTCTTAAGGAAATGATTTAATCTGTATTTCAAGTAGAATCCAAACAGTATTTCACGATGCTCCACCTCCCACACGTGGATTTGGGAAAGCGTGTATCAGGAAAGCCGCAACAGTATTTTATTGTGCTGTTGTTGCTGACTCTGCATCCCATTGGAAATGTGACCCAGAATCCTCTTCATCAAGCCTTGAAGAGAATTCAGCTGCACCTTTCTGAAACAATACATCAGCCCTTCAGTTGAGGTCAGCCTGAAGGTTGCTGATTTGGCTTGTGGAAGTGACTGTCATACATTTCTAATGGGGACTGTCACACTCACCCTGAGAGTACCGCACGCTGTCCCAGGCAATCCACTGACATCGCAGTTGCCTGTTAAAGAGAAACAGAGAACAAAACTAAATTATACCTGTCAGGTCAGCTTCTCAGACAAATACACAGCTTTGGGGAGTTGTTCAGGAAAACCCGCCAGCTCATCTTCTAAGTATAAACTGCTATGGCAAGAGTCAAGGCTGGTTTCTGTCAGGGATGGCAGAAGTAATGTCCCCTTAAAAAAGCACAGATAGGTGACGGGGTATACCGGTTGATTTTGGGATGCAGGACAGCACACGGAAAACATCTTTGTTAGAGTAAACTGAAGACAAGACCTGGCAGACACCATTACAAGCACTGAGACCTTGCTCCCTTCTCCCCACTATGGCAATCACAGCTGCAGCCTTTCAATCAGCAATCTCTAATAATCCGTATTAATCAGCCTCTGCTCCTGCTCAGGAGCTTTCTCAGTGTCTCTCTCTTCCATTGCAGGGCCAGATTTAATTATATATGTACTGGGAGATAGAAGTGCAACCATTTGTGTACGGCTGGTGTCCAAAAATGAGAGATGGCTAAGAGGCATCAGAATTTACTTTGGCATTGCTTGTAAAGAAGGCTAAGAGATAACTTAAATGCCACAAGAAGAAAAAAAAAAAAAAAAGACTGTTTGAAAATTATGTCCCCCCCTTTTCGTTCAGAATGGAATTGGCCAATCATCTTGTCTAATTGCCAAGAGAATAAAGGAAAATTTTACTTGGAAAGCTGAACAGTTCAGCCCATAAACATAGATATGACTTTAATGCAGTTTTTAGCATTCACAGTACAAAATCAGAATATGCCCCATATTCTTCAAACTAACTGCTGTCATGTTCAAAGCTACCTCTGTGAAGGCTCAGGATGTCTCTGCTGCTGTTCAGGATTCTGCTAAGTACTCTCAGTGTGGATGTAACAAGACTTCAGGATGTCCTACAGCTACTACTTATAAGCATCACTAAAACGAGACAGACCATATGGCAATCCCACTCCATTTCAGTCAGATTTGACAGGAGAATAACCATCAGAAAAACCTATTTTTTTCAACCAGAGCCCCATCCCCTGCTTGCAAGTACCCCAGCTAAGGGAAAAACAGCATTACGGGCTCATTCTTCACTAGAGGCCAAGAGTCCACATAGCAAAGAGCTACAAATGCCTCAGAGTTTCAGCAGGAGTCCACAGTAAACCCCAGGCCTACAACCATACAGCAACCAAGCTGAGTTTCACCACTTCTGCTGTTCCAGGAACGAGCTGCTTTCATTGCTTTTTTCCAAGGTAGCAAAGCCAGTCTGCTGGCAAGGTTTTCCTAATCCTAAAACTAATGCTGTAAATAAGAAGCTAGTTTTAAAATTTCTAAATGGTAAAGAAATAATTGCAGCTTCCTAGACTTCACAGCACCTTGCAAAACAACAAAGCATGCTACTAAATTTATAAAAAAAGCAGGCAGGAGAAGGAAGTTTTCCCAGATGATACACATTTCACTTCCAAGGAATTAAAATGAGGATCATTAAAGCCATTACTGGAATCAGAACCTTCTCATGTGATGAAGAGCTCATCAGCCATCACATTTCATACAACTGTAGCCATCTTTCCTCAAGACAGAAAAAAATTCGTCAATTTAAAGTGATTGATAATTTCATATATGAGTTTATTTTTTCTGGTGTTGGCACCAGGATCTCATAAATCCTTACAAATTGTTTTTAATAATGAACATTGGTAAACTGTTTTTCCAGGCACATCATAAAATGTAATGAGTAATTAGAATGAAGCAAAAAGCGTCACATGTCAGGCTGCTACTTCGGTGGGCCACAAAGTCATTTTATGGCAATAAACAGTTTCCTACAATACTACAGTCTTATCTAGGCAACAGGAAAAAAAACCAAACAGCTGTGATTTAATGTGCTTGTGTATATTGATATGTCAGTCTTCACAGCACAACCTTCCAGAAGGGGGGAGTTGAAACTGAACAAACCAACTTGAAAGCAGTTTTTATCCTATAACAACAATCAGGACAGCTAGAATTGCTGTTTATGAGTAACAATTATGTGAATAAGCACGGTAGGAGTACTGCACATTTGAAAACCAGCTCTGAGCCCACAGCCCAGGCAGCATCTTCTCAGACTTCAAATGTCCAGTTTGGCATCTCACTTGATTTCTGCTAGGCAAGCCAAGGAAAACACCTCTTCATGTCTGAACTTCCATTAGTTTTGAATCTAGCGTCATTCTCTCCACCTGAAAGGCAACCGACCAACCCGATTTGCCAAGGCTATACTGGTTTTCAAGAGCTGCAAACTCTTAGCAAGAAATACCAGTTCCCTGCATACCTAACTTCCCATCTACACGCTGAGTTGCTACAAATGGTGCTATTTCACCATTGGACGTGATGAGCTTTACTCTCCTTTTGATAGCATGGACAGCCTGACAAGAGCCTGTGGGTCACATCTAAACCAGAAGAGTACAGAGACTGCGACCTCTGTCAGCTTTACAGAAAGATGACACCTGTAGGCAATACTGGCCCCAAACTACCTAGATATTTTCTGAAGCGTTACAGGTTGGTTGCTGTAGTTTTTCACACGACACACTCTGGCATGACGAACAAACACAGCTGCAGTGCTTCCAGACATATACACACTATAAATGCAATAGCTGCCCACTCTTTTGACTCTTGTTTCCATTTAAGTTCGTTTTGGGATAGGGATTTTGGAGATAACTTGGCCTACAGGCAGAGCTCAAGCCTAATACAGGATAATTACAGCCAAGGTGTTTCAATTTCTCAAGCTCAGGTTTCCCATCTGCAAAAATGTGCAGGCTCCTAAAAAAAGCTCAAGTACAAATATATAAATGAGTTTAGCTTGAAGCAGTAGTCTAGCAGCCCCAGCCGCTGAAGCTCTCTGGTTTCATACGAGAACAGGCAGAACGGCTCTAGAAAGATCACACCAGAATACACCAAAGGACCGAAATACCAGTGGTTAACCTCTCTATTAAGGTATACGCCTGCACAAGTGAGATTGAAACCCACTGCTGCAGAAGGGGATGGAAACACCTGTTCTCTTCCCCCTCTGCTCCCACACACCAGCCATTATGAATAAGCAATCAAATCATGACGCCACATATCTCCTGAGCCAGATGCAATCTGAATCTGTGCTCTAGAAAGACATACCTTCATATCTCATTATCGGTTTCCCGAGAGCAAATCTTCAGCAGCAGACAAGGCTGCTTTAACATTTCTTCCAGGAGGAAAACAAAACCGATATAAAGCTTTTGAGGTATAAAAGCAAAAAGCTTTGTGAGCTTGCAGAGGACAGGCTGGATGTAGCACACAGGATTCAGTGCCCCTATTCGCAATAGCAAACACATTGCTCCAGCACAAGAGGACAAACTAGATGAGAGAGTTTGCAGACATTTTTTTTTTTTTTTAACCTTTCTGGATTTCCTGCTGAAGTAGCTCATAGTTCACCCACCATATCCAGCTTTGCTAAGCAACGGCCAACATCCTAAGAAAAGACACATTTCTTAGAACGGCTTCTAAGAAAGCACGTAAGCAAGCTCTGAGGGGAGTTCTCCTGTAACCAGCAACTTCAAAACAAAAGCTGACCTTTTTGCTCTTTTAAAAAAACATAACCCGCTTTTCCTGCTAATCGAGGAATACTCAACAATTTATATCGCAGTTGAAAAAGTAGCTATAATGGTCTCAGAGGAAAAATGAGGAAAGATGCGTGGGAAGTGGTAATGACTTCTATAAGGTCTGCCAGTATACTTAAAAAAATATCCAATCCAAGATCTAATTAAGATTAGCAATAAAGCGCCTCGTGAATTAAGGCGTTATCTCCGCGCATACGGCTCGGACACCGGCTCAGCCCCGTCCGCAGCCGGCGAAAGGCCCCGCGGGGCCGCCGAGCCCGCCCGGGCCGGGAACCCCTCCCGCTCCTCACGAGAACGGCCCGGCCCGTCCGGGACAGCCCCCCGAGGGCCAGTCAGAGCGGCAGCCGCTCCCCCCCCCCCCCCCCCCC